GTAAGATCGCAGCTTCTTAATGTTTTCATCGCCACGCGAATCCCCAAGGATTTCCCTTCAAATCGCCATACGATCTTCACCTCCGCGTGCTTCCCATCTCACGACCGCATGGTCCACAAACCTATCATCGCCATTTTCCCTTAATATATCTTTTTCCATCTATCATCCTTATAATCCCGCGAACGAATCATCCTTTCATTATCCCCCGAAGACTCCATCATCTCACTGGCTACTACCTGGACTGCCTCGTCTCATTCTCATCGCCACTGGATTGCATCATCCTCATTTCATTCATGGATTCATCGTCATCAACGACGCTGCAGGAACCAGGTCGGTATACCGGCCTAATCACCGCCGAAGAACGCACGATATCGCATTCAGGAGACATTCATCACTTTCCGGTCTTCATCCCTTCAGAGGGATTTATCGCCTTTAGACCGTCATCGCCTTCAGATCTCCAATATGATCATCGGCCATCTTGTAAGCCATAAAAATTTCATTAAAAGTGAGTCTTCAACTACTCCTTTCGTTCATTATTTATTCCTTCATTTAACCATTCCTAAACTAACATCCCCTTTTTCAATCGGGAATCTTCCATTCCCGTTGGTGCCGAAACAATCTTCTTATTAACTTCAACTTCTCTCTTCGGTGGTATTCGTCGGGGCCATTTTGAATTTTGGCTGCTGGCGAACAAGCTGATTACATCCAAAGAATTGTGAATTAAAAAAATAACTGTTAAAAAGAGCCCCCAATAATCCACCTTATCACTGGAGAAATATTTAAAACAAATCTGGAAAAAAATGGCTCGATGTAACGTTTGGGGTGTGTAATATACTGCGCCCTCTGAGCGTTATTGTATCCCCGTTCTGTACTTATAGCACACGGTGAGTCCTAGTTCAACAAGGAACTTGATTAGTAGGCACGGTTCCAGAGGTTGAAGTTCTTCTACGGTTACGTTTGACATCCCAAAACACTTCATCCTGCGGACAAATGCGGCGGGACAGTGTGTTAGTGCCGTGTTGGGTTATAACAATCTTTTACAGATATCCATTCAGTCTGCATTGTCCTGCAAAATTCGACGTTTTATCCTGCTTTCTTTGATGCGTTCTCAGGTTTCTTTTCTCATTTTCAATTTGTATCTTCGTCTGAGATACTAATTGATAGTGTAATCCCTATGCCACAGAAGGGCTCAGGACCCGTCAGCGACAAAGCAGCCCATTTCCTTGCAAGGGCGTCTGCTCTCTCGTTGTCCTCTACTCCCACATATGAAACCTAGCAGAGAGTGATTTTATTTTGTATACCTACTCTATTTAGTTTAGTTTTGCAATTCGACACCATCTTTGAGCTAATGATGTTACAACTTAGTGCTTTCATGCTATCTGACATATCCTTATTTTTGTCCCCTTTTTCAAGTTGAACGTGGTACATCTGTTAATTGCACGGACTTCAGCCTGGAAGACACTGGTTTATTTTGTTCATGGGTTCTGAGTATTTGGTTCTAAGACACTCCTGCCCCGATTTCTTCCTGCCTTCTAGATCCGTCAGTGTATGGTGCCATTCTCAACAGTGTTGTTTCTCCCTCTTTTTCATTCTTTTTTGGTACTTAAAGTGGTTTCAAAATTTGGCTTGAATATCCTGTTCATGTCGTCTCTTGGGGCTATGTGTACCGGTTGTTCCTTCATTACTCTGATGAAAAGGGTTACTTAAACTAACATATGGCTAAAATATGTCTTCAGTATATGAAAGTTTGGAGAAAATCATTAGTCAAAACCTAAGAAAACCGCCGAAGGAGGTTAAATCATATATTCCCATATAGCTACTTCTTAGTCTCAAAGCTTTGCGAAAAGTTATTTCTAAAAATAATAAAACCCATAGTAGAAGAATTCAATACTTTTGAAAAACTCTAGAACTTATTGATAAACTAGGGATGCTATCGAAATATGCAGATTGACACTTCATACTTAACTAATAATTCTTTCTACGTAAGGTCTTGGTTGAGATAAAAAAAGTCCGTGTCACGAGCGGGATTCGACCTTACATAGAAAGAGTAATTAATTGAAAGAAGTAACTTGGTCAATAGACCACTAAAACGTAAAATGGCTTAACTAATAACATTCAGAACTAAGGAAAATGTGGGGTTCCCAAGGACGCATAATAGGTCCAATATTTTACTATATACCGGTTTCATATTATATCTTAGCCAGTCTATTATTTCTTTCTACATAAGTCAGCCTGTCATATCCTTTTAAATACCTGTGTATTATTCGACAATCAAATTCCTTAAGTACCATGATGACATTTTGGTATGTTTGTATAATTGTTGATGCCATTGTGTTTGTTACAACCCCATTGTCCCCATAGGTTATAATTTTCTAACCTTAAACGTAACTTTGTTAGAAACAGTACACAAGAGTTCATTACTTGCACAAAAAACAGACAAATAAAAACAAGAGGCAATAAAATTAGGGGGGAATATCCAGGTCACTAATTGCTAAGTGGTACCGGAAACGAAATATCTTGGTTACGAGGAAGTGCCGAGCTTTCACACATGAAACAATTGAATGCGGAAGTCGGATTGGTGGGATGCGCAGTTAAAATGACAGAATGTTATTTTTCCCTTCTTTATTGTTATCATCTGTTGGATTATTTATGAAATGCATAACTCTCTAATCAAATTCCTTAAGTACCATGATGACATTTTGGTATGTTTGTATAATTTTTGGTGTTACTGTGTGTTACAACCCCATTGTCCACATAGGTTAGAATTTTCTAACCTTAAACCTATTTCTCCCTTTTTTACTTTATATGCTCTTTCCATCTCCGCTTGTTATCTAACAGATATTTAGCTGTATCATTGTATGCCATGGTCCAGAGGTGATAGACGGAATATGGCCCAATTTGGTTTGAATTTGTGGTGTGCGAGGTGATCAACCGACTGTCGAGAAGCGTTTCGGCATTGCCCAATCTGGTACGCAGAAAGCAGACACGTTTAATCAAAGTGCCTGTGTGGAATGAAGGCTAAATGTACCTCAAAATATTACGAGTCACATTCAGCCGTAATAAATTTATTCGTCATCTTATTTCTTATCACCATTTTTTTTCCTTCTGTAAACGGGCTTATAATTCATCATAGAATTCACGCTAATTGTGCAATTTGGTTAGACATTATCTTGCCTGCATATTGGCCCTGGTATGCCTAAGATCCAACCCAGCGTTGATATGAACGGATAGCCTATTTAGAAATAAATTACTGCCTAAGAATACTACATATTTCCTTTCAGTATTATCTTTGTGGTGCCTACTTAAGTTGCTGATTTCTGAGAATTTACAAACGCTAATCATGTTTTCGCCCGTTTATTGGACTATTTTTATTATTTTACAATGTCCCTGCTAGTCAAGGACCTATTTAGCTCATCTTCATGAAAAGTGTAGCATATTAAAAGAAATGAAACCTTTTAAGCTCCCAGAGACCATCATCTTGAATCATGTTCTCATCTTTTTGATTTCCGAAAATAAAAACAATCAAAATGTTTCTCATTTTTTTATATGACAAAATATGAGTAGGAAGGATTGTAAAGTAAAATAAGGAACGATACGTCAATTAAAATCCTAGCTTGATAGATCAATTTTGGTAATATTTCCTGTGGTATGCTGACTGAGATTCATGAAGTAAAACTGTCACTGAAATTTTCAATCTTTTGAATAGTTCGTCAAGGTGATCGAGGCTTGGTAAAATCTAAAATAGTGTATTGTCATCTCAAACAGTGAGTTGTGTTGAGCCGGAGAGTGTGCCTGGCATCTGGTACTAAGAAATCAGATACGATCAAAGATGACAGGTGCAGAATGAAGGGTCACCTTATTATGAAGTCAATGTATTTATTATTACTAGAAAACTATTAAAGGCTAAATGTACCACAAATTATCAAGTTCAAAAGATAGCAGTATTGAATTTATTGGACCTCTCATTTATATACTACTGCAATTTTTTTCGTACTGTAAACGGATTTATATTACATAGCATCAGAATTCACGGTAATTATGTAATTTAGTCGGGAATGATCATCTTGGTTTGTCTATTGACTGGGTCGGTCTGTCACTCGTGCAATTCGCCATCTTTAGTGTGTCTGACAGCTGATAACCTTACAAGGTATAGGCAGGCCATCTGTCACTGTGATTGTAATATTTGTACGCCTCTCTCCAGTACAACAGCGAGATTAAGCGGACCAGATTTCGACTGTAACAGTCTGACATATCATTTTAACCATGTGGACCTGACTGTATATACCATGACACCTCTTGAAGAACAGAAAATGTTCAATCTTGGTAAAGCAGTAATTCAAAATCATTTATTTGATAAAAATACTTTTTGAAATTTAGGCCAGGTCGAGTAATACAAGGTCTATTCATTCTCAAAAAATTACACACATGACTTTCTTTTAAATCAGTTATCGGGGTCATTGGTGACTCGAAGCTAATGGTTAACACGATCACCTCGAAGTGACTTTCACATCAGAAGTTTGATTCAGCAGGTTTATCTCTCAATCCTGGTTTTTTTGACACGTAATTTCGAAGATATTTTTCAACATTTTTTTCGGCCTGGTGTACTCAAAAGCGACCGTCTAGCAATGTGCACGTTCCAACTAGTAATTTTTCACCTTTGTTGTAAATCTCGTTAGATTTTAATTAAAGTTTCAATGTTACAAACTAGCACGATAAGAAATTTAATAGGTTTAGCTAATCGAAAAAGAGCCTTCTTGAGCTGGGCCTACTGTTTTCGTTGGCGTCTTTTCATAAAAATAATAATGCTTTAAAGAATATGTCAATAGGAGAAAAAACAGTGCATATATGAAAAAATATAACAGAATGTGTTCTTTTACGTTGAAGCGTTTTATTTTGCGAGCGTTGCTTTTTTTGATTTTGTGACTCGTACGGTGGTAGATGTGCGAATGTGCATGTGTGAAAACACTTTGCTCTTGGTTGCTTTTTTTTGGTTTAGGTACCTTTCTTGTCCAATATGGCTAGAACGGAATAGCAGTGGGTAAGGAAGAGAGATGCAAGCACTATACCGTCGACATTGGTAGCTACACCTCTCCCCATGCTACAACCGACGAGACTGGTTCGAAACGGTACAAACAAACGGGCCGGATGTCTCGGGGCGCCTCCATCGGCGGTGGGAGAACACATCCAACGAGACAAGCGCCACTTTCCGATTTACCTCAGGCAATAAAACGGCATCTGACACCATTAAAATGGTGAACACTTATCAAGAATCATCTGGTTGTATTGACGACACTTATTATGATTGAGATTTAATAATCCTCAATGAAATCTAACTTAGTCAATCTTAACACTTGTAAAATATTGTAGTCTATGAGGTGAACAAGAATTACTTAAATAATTCTCTTTCACTTTCCTCACTAGGAAAGGAAGTGCGAAGCCTTTGGGACTTTGGGCATCTTAGGGGGTTGTCGTGAAGGGATCGGGATGAAAATTGTAGGACTAAGGAGATATGATAAGAGTCTAGGGTTACATAAACGGTGACCCTGAGAAAGTCCGGTGTAATGGGTGGTTGAATTCCGTGGACTGACGGTGCAGCGGGAATCGGTAGACTGGGTGGAGTGAAGAGTCTCGTGTAGCACGTCTGTTGAGAGTGCAAGAGATGATGACCCTTTTTCCTGTACCTAGTGCTGACGTCTTATTAGCGACAGTGCTTTGATATCTCGTCGACGGCATTAAACAGTTTGAGTTCCTGCTTATGTGCAGAACTGTTGCAAGCTCATTGACTGAACATGAAGATATGCATAGAAGAAAACAAACAGGTTTACCAACTAGCCAAAGAAGAGGCAGCACTTTCGCCCATGGGACCAAGACTAGGCACACCGGTGGTAAGTTGGAGATAGCTTGAGAAAGAAAAACCCATAACCAAAACACCAGTTATGAAGCAAGCTAAGAGATAAATGTCTCAAAAAGGAAGGCGAATGAACTGAAGATAAGAATGCTGAAATTGGACTAACAACATAGAAAAAATTTCAGAACTATCTAATTGGTTAGAAGCCTGAAGGGCCTAATTTAATAGTCAAAACAAGCCATACAAGTATGACCTATCCTGAACATTTAGGCACAATAAAAAATGATATATCCGTTGACTTCAGCGAGGAGATGGACTTGCAGACTCTCCAACAGCCCTAGCTCGATTATTCGTCTTCTGTGATTTGTCTACGTGTTATGTCAATCGTGCCGCAATGTCGTAATAGAATAAAACAAAACACACAAGCAGCGACTCTCCCTAGTTAACCAGCATAAAATACTTATAAACTGAAATGTGATTTTTCCTCGATAACTCGATATCTTGCTTTAAAAAAAGCTCGATTTGAAGGGAAGTAAGGCTTGATTTGTACCAGATCTTCTTTATGATAAGACCGAAGGAATTCAATTGAATCCGTGGCATGACTCTTAGGAAATACGTCATTACGCAATAGTCGAACTGGTTTCGCGTTATTCTGCGCAATTGTTGTGTACTAAGAGGGATCCCATTAAAAGATCCCACCCTTTGCGAATACTAAGAGAGATTTGCCATTCAATTTAGGCTTTAACGAGCTTGACAGGATGCGACATTTCTGGACAATGGGAACAAAAAGTCAAGGGTCCTCATCCTAGTGGAATCGTACCACCAGTCGATTTCGACTGTATGGTGTATCGGAAAAAAAAAAAACTTCGAATATACAAATAAGTTACGTCCGCGTCTATAGATTTAGCATGCAACTGGAACCCATCCCAGTTCGCAAAAATGAAGATAAATAGAAAGGAGAGAGACGGCGGAAGCCAAATATTTTTTTCGACCGCATTGGGCTGGAAAAATACTGCGCAAACACTATTTATTGCACCAGCCTTATTTTGTGATTATCAGTTTTAAGAGAGATAGCAAAGGAAAGACACAAGAGAGAATTGGATATCTTTTATAAAAAGGTATCATGTGTTTATAAAAATCGAGGTTTTGCCCAATACTGAGATTATTTTTATCATCAAATAAAACAACAACAAAAATGAATCCGATGACCCTTATTTTCAATTTGTATATATAACAGGATCTTCTACAATTGCGTAAATTTGAACTTCTTTGAACCTTCACAAAATGCTAATAATTAAACCAGATCTGAATAAAACATAATAATTAGAGAAAAGGATTATTTACTTAATATCTTTTTACGAAAACAACTTATGACTATAATTGGTTGGAAACAGAAACCGTTTGTGATGGTCTCAAACTTGCAACGAAATACAAGCTATATTTTTTTCTTTTGGAATTGTCTTATCATCAGCATTATTTAAAACTACAGTGAAAATCCGTATATGATTTAATCAAATAGATAACTTTTCCTACACAAAGATCATTTTGGAAATCTAGCAAAGAAAATTTTCAATGGAACGTTCTGAATAAAATGTAAATTAGGTAAAAAATTATATTTTGAGAATACATATTTAAACCGGATGCTTATTTAGCAGGTTATAATTAGCGATCATTGTAACAACTTGAACTAAACTTTGCGACAGGGGTCGGTTGAAAACAGAAACTGTTCGTGACGGTCCCACACTTGCGACGAATAATATTTGATAAGGTGGTTTTAAAACAAAGTAGAATACAAATAAGCGGACATTTTTGAGAATTATTTTTACAAAATGAGTAACATTTTAAAAATAAAGTTTTAAAAGTAATTTGAGAAAAATAATGATATGCGTTGGAAAAATAATTCTTTCCTATTTCCTACTGCTTACTTATATGTTTTTCCTTTTGTAACATTCGTTTTATTCTCGGATTATTTCAATATAAATTTTTTCCGAAAACACAGTGAAAATCCCGATATGATTAAAGGAAATAGACAACGTGTCCTATCCAAGGATCAAACTATATTTATTAATTGCATAAACATTAAATATATTTATATTTATTGATATTTATTTATCGGATTATATGTGTGGTGATTAGTGACCGTTAATCGATATTTATTTAGAAATCGTGAGTTGCGGTCTGGTGTGATGTAGGTTTCAGAAAAACATTTTCTTTATCGTGCCAACGTTTCGATCTTTATTGAGATCATCNCAATTTGAACGTAAAAATTCAAATGATTTTATACCAATTAGAGTAAGGTGGATTCGAACTTGCGACAGGTTGGAAACAGGAACAGTGAGTGGCGATCCGAAACCTTCGACGAATAAGAATATTTGATGAATTGATTTTAACACAATGTATTTAAAAAAATCCATTTTTGAGATTTATTTTCCAAAAGCGTAATACACTGAGAGGCAAAAAAAGTGGCCATCCTTAATATTTTAAATTGTTTTTAGAGAATCCTCCATTGATTATCTAACACCAATATTTAGTCCGTTTTAAAGTATTAGAGAATAAAAATAAATAAAACAGATAAAATCGCCCACTTGTGTTCACAATTGGATGTTATAAATAAATCTTTGAAGTCAATATCTTCTTTGTTGGTTTTTCTGTAAAGTTAATTTCTAACGTTCTGCTGGTTTGATTTTTTTATGTTCTACCATTTTTAAGTTTCAAATGTGTTTGAGTGATTGTTTTAAGTGATACAGATTCGGGGAGAATCATAGCATTGTTGGAAAATGGAAGAAGTCAAGCGTAGCTAAGGCGCTAATATTCCCAGTACAACTGTACGAAAGGGTCTTCCATCACTACCAAGGTTACTCAATAAGGCGTGGATTAGGTCGCCATCGTGTGACATCTCAGAGAGATGATAGTTTTATTGTTTCGAATGTACACCGTAATCGACATTGTACCGCTGTTAAGATCAAGCAACGACTTCAAGTGAGAAATATTAATGTAACTGTAAGGCGAAGACTTTCAGAAGCTGGCTTACGTGCGAGAAGGCCAGCCACTGGTCCAGAACTTCAGACAATGTACAGACCGGTTAAGTTTCGCAAGAAATCACATCAATTGATATAAGCAAGATGGGACTAAAATGTTGTTTTCGGATGAGTAAAGGTTTTGGAGAAGAACAACAGATAACCCCGCAATATTTCCATTCAGGAGAAGCTATGGAGGTGGTGGTATTATGGTTTGGGCAGGCATTGTTATGTCTCTGAGATGTCACACGATGGCGACCTAATCCACGCCTTATTGAGTAACCTTGGTAGTGATGGAAGACCCTTTCGTACAGTTGTACTGGGAATATTAGCGCCTTAGCTACGCTTGACTTCTTCCATTTTCCAACAATGCTAGAACTACGGAAGGTCGTACAAACTTGATCTCCATCGAGGGTTCCCTAACAGCTGTGCGATACATTGAAGATGTGTTATCAGAAGAAGTGGTTCCTTATATGCCACTAATTGGCAACAGTTATATTTATATATGTGACAATGCAAGGCCCCACACTGCTAGGATCGTTGGTGGCTACTTAGAACGGGCTTCAATTCAATGTGTGTAATGGCAAGCGTGTAATCCCAACTTAAACCGAACCCAGTTGTCAAAGAGGTTAAAAACTCGTCCAGTGACGCCAATGAATTTGCAGGAATTAAGAATGGCACTGTTGGAAGTGTGAAAATATTCCACGTCGATGCCACGTCGAATGCACCGTACTGAATTGAATATTTCTTCTTTTTTTCCATAACAACATAATGTATAATGTGTAACATAGTCTAAAATTGTTTTACTCAGTTAAATTATTTATTTAATTTTTTTATTTAGCTATATCTTTGAAAATCCGTATATTATTAAAAGAAATAGACAATGTGTCCTATCTAAGGATCAAATCTTATATTTATTAATTAAATAAATATTAAATTAATTTATATTTATTGATTCCAATGGTTTTATAAAAACTAGGATACGGTGGATTTGAAATTGTGCCCGGGGTCGGTTGGAAACAGAAAAGGCTCAAAATGGGCTGTTTCTTGTGCGACTACACGAAAAGGTTATTATTGCCAAAAACAAACTTTTTTTTACAAAATGCAAAATACATTTAGGGTAAAAATGTAGCAATTGATTCCTGTTTTCTCACCGTCATCATGGAAACAGAGACGGTTCTCGACGGTCCGAAACTTGCGACGAATATGAATAGATTTTAAAACAACATAATTTTTTTTAATGGGCAATATTTTCAAAATAAATTTATGAAAGTAATTTATCTCAGAAAAAAAAAATAGCGTGCATTGGAGCACTTATTCCTTCTATAAAGGAATCTTATCTATAATTAAGATAGGGCTGATTCGAACCTGCGACTGACGTGGGTTAAAGAGAATCTTCGAGATGGTCTGTTTTTGCGATTACACAAAAAAGTAGAAAAAAGCTGTTTATTGTTGCCAAAAACACCTTTTTTGTTACAAAATAAATAAATGATGAAATTAATAAAATAAATAAATTTTCATATTCTCGTATAATTAGAAAATGGTTGAATCAAACCTGTGACAGATGTTTAAAAACAGAGAAGGTTCGAGATGGTCTGTTTTTGCGACTACATGAAAAACAGAAATTCAAGCAGGCTATTGTTGCCAAAAACACCTGTTTTGTTACAAAATAAATATTTTATTAAAGAAACAAATTTTCATATTTTAATCATAATTAGAATAGGGTTGATTCGAACCTGTGACAGATCGTTGGAAACAGAAACGGTTCGTGACGGTCGGAAACTTACGACAAGCGAGTCTCGTGAGACCCGTAGTGAGCGCGGGGCGCGCTTCTCCACTTCCGAAGGTTTCACAAGTAACCTTATCCTTGTTTATTGTAAAATGTAGCATCCTCCGTTGAAATCCATTCCAGTTTTCATTTTCGGGTTTTTTTTCCTTCAAAAGTCGCCCTTTTTTTCTCAACCCGATTTATGTCTCGTCCGGTGGGGGAAAACGTATCAGCGTTTCCGATGAGCCTCCTTTTCGGTGAAACCTCGAAAGGGTTCGAGCCAAATGGGGCTCCGTAGTTTTTGACGTCGAAGACCCCCATAATTCCGCGGAGCCTTCTCGACCTTTACCCCGATCCTGGGGACCGACCCTGGGGATATGTCGAGTCAAATGGACAACGAGAGAAAGTTCCGCGAGGACTTAGAAAAAGCGCAAGCACTCAGCCTGGAGAGCCTTGCGCTCGAGAAGTTCCGCCTTGAAAAACTACGTTCTCAACAAAATACAACGGCGAACCAACAGAGCAAAGGTATCACCTGTTGATTTCTACATGAAAATCATAATTTAAACGATTTTGGAGAGTAGAGTGAAGTCATGTCCGTTCGTCCTTGTTTTCCTTGTTTATGGTGTTTAATTGTGCTATCATCCCATACGGCGAAGATACGCTTCTAATCCTTCATTTTAACTGGGTGTTCTTTCCTCAATTACAACCAGATTTCACTCTTATTTTACATCTGTTGGTGGGAAAAAACTCACGACCGAGGAAAAATTTAGTCCACTTCATTTTAAAGTCTTTCAGGACAAAAGTCAGCATAACAACTTAACAACCCTCAAAACATTCTTCCTGAGAACATATAGTGAACATGACATGTTAAAAACCTTCTACGAGATTCTCCCTGCCAGTATACAGAGAACATGACACTTAAAGTCCTACTAGAAGGATCTTGTTCTTAATTAATCATAAACATGCCACATAAAAACATTGCTGGATGTGGTAACATCGGATTAATTAAAGATTTGATTTATAAGGCTTAAAAATCATCATTGTCCACCTGTATAATAAAGCCGAAAGTTGTGAATTTGAATACCGCTCACGACAGTAACGTTTTCATTTCAACCAAGACTAGATAAAAAGTAGTAATGAATTAAAATAATTTATACAGCCAATTACGACAACTAAATATAGACGGATTAAGCTGTAAAAAAGAATAAACATGCCTGTTAAAAATTTTACTAAACATTCTTCATGAGAATATACAGTGAACATGTCGCTTAAAATCTTCCATGAACATTATTCCTGACAATATACAGTGAACAGCACACTTAAAAATCTAGGATTTCCTTTCGTGATGCTCAAGTCAGCATGACAACTTAAAAACTCTTCAAAACATTCTTCATGAGAACATACAGTGAACATGGCAAGTTAAAAACCTTCCGTGAGATTCTTGCGAATATTCAGAGAACATGAAACTTAAAATCCTACTAGATGGATCTTGTTCAGAATTAATCATAAACATGCCACATAAAAAACGCTGTGCTCCACGTCTCACATGTGATAACACAAAAGCTGCTGGATCCATTATGAGGTTCTGCCTCACCCTCCATATTCTCCAGACCTCTCGCCTAGCTACTACTATTTTTTCAGACATCTAGACAACATTTTACGTCATAAAAAATTTGTTGATCAAAAGTCATTACGAAATGTTTTTACAGAATTTGTTACTGATAAAGAAGAAAATGCATTTACAGAATTTGCTAATAATAAAGATTCAAAATTCTATTCAAAGGAGATTGGGCGAAGCAATCGACAGTGATGGAGGGTATTTTAATAAATAAAAAATGTTTAAAATCATTTATCTAATTGTTTTTATTTTATAACCATAAACTAGCATTATTTTCTGGACAGCCTAAAGCTTCATCTCTCTTATTTAGACTGGACCCTCTAATTATCTGAACACAGACTAGCTAAAAATACTGTGGTTGAACTGATTAATACCAACTTGTCCTAGTTCAAAATGCTCAATTCTCTTGCCCAGGATTGTAATTTTGACTTTGATTTTACTATTAGTAGCCATGAGGAATGGTTTTTATTCTGGATTTTGAAACATTCATTTGTTCGAGACATGTCAAAGGTTGTTCCGAAATGGCTCGCAGAACCACTAGATTTCTGCTATAGAAGGAACTTGACCATTCAAAAGATGTGAGATATGGTTCTTCAAGCTAATCTAACTTAACTTCTCCCCATTGAGAGATGATTCTGTTGATCGTTGTTCACTGTGTAATTCCTCCGCAAGGGAAAACCTTTTTCATTTTCTGGCTTGTGTCCCATCCTTTCTGAGTTCTGAATTCTATTTTGGGTACTAACAGAGTTGCGAGAGCGTGTCTTATCAAAAAAAATCATGTCTCCCTACCATACAGACCTGATTGGTTTGAATAGGAATGCACTTGGGTGCTGCTGAGAGCTCGTGGAACAATTTCATTATTCATTTATTTTAATTTTAGTTTTATATTGATGAGCCATAAGTGTGTTTGTTTTTGTTCTATCTATTATTATTTTATTGCAGTCAACAAGATTTCATTTTCTCTTATTTTTATTTTTGTTTTATTTATCTTAGTTTTATTTGGATATTTTGTATGTATGAGGGTATCAAATATAAATAGGACTGATTTTCTTAGAAATGTCAGTGGGGTCGTAAACCTGAAAAGGGTTGATGTGCAGGCAGATTGTACCGTTATGGCCAGAAGTGACATTCTTCTGCATGACCATGCCACTAAGCAAAAATTATATGCAATACGATGGGAAACATTAGAACATCCACCATATAGTCTTGACTTGTCACCTTGCAACTTTCATCTTTTTCTAAGGACTTAGAGGCCAGTTTTTCGATGCAACAGCAAAGTGGTGAAAGCAAGCAGAAGACTACGAGAATGCCCCAAGAGTTTGTAAGACTATGCAATAAATAAACTCCCAATTGGCAGGATGATATAGGACAATAACATATATTTGTAAGTTATAAAATAAAGTTAGATTTTTTTTTTAAAATGAGTCCTGCTTATATTTGATACACCCTAGTATATATCCTTGTTATCAAGTGAATTCCTCAGCCACCACTTGCAGCAGACAGTTTTACGATCAATGCTGTATTAAGAACTTTTTCTTTATTATTATGTTTATTTTCTTTTTGAAAATAAAGTTCTTTCTTCATTCATTCATATATTATGTTTGTTTATTTATTCTTGACAGTGTATTGTATTTATAGATGGAAATAGACAAAAAACATCACTTGCTCCTCAAAGAAGTAGCAGTGTTACTCGAATGCATGGAAACACCAGTTATCTGGAAACGATTTCTAGGCCTAGACCGGGCTCATTTAACACAAGTACTATATTTCAATTTTTAAATAAAGCAATAAAGTCTATGACTGCATGAAGTAATGATGCAATTTTCTAGAAGAACACTGTTTACCAAGGATCCGTCCTCCTCCTCAAAATCTCAGAAGGAATAGTGTAACAAACGGCGGAGGTCCTTCGGCAGATTTGATTTCGTTCAATAGTCCCTCCGCAAGTAAACATCAACAGGATGATGTTACTCAATTCGTTTTCAGGTATATTAAATATTTTATATTGATTTTTGTTTTGTTTTATCACGTAAAAATCTGTGATTTTAAAGGGATACGAGTGATGGTAATGAAGATAAAAACCTTTCACAAGTTGTTGAGTCATTAAAGTCATTAAACTCTTTGTTCACTGCTTATGCTACTAATCCTGCAAGCAATAATAATTTAACGCAATCGACATGTTACAATTCTTCATATATTATGAACAACTACTCTTTGAACAAGAGTGACCAGACGAGATTGCCAGCAAATAGTTTGCCTTCTACGACATCAGGTAATTTTTTCTCATAAAAGTGACTCTTTGGTCTTTCATGCTGTTTTTTTTTTTCTGTACAGAAACGGATTCTTCTTTAAAAGTGCTAAAAGTCTTAGGAAAGAGAGATAATAGTAATTTAATAGATTTAACTGCATTTGATTTTGAGCATAGGAATGATAAAAATTTAGGCGCGAGTTTATTAGAAACTTTTGATCCGCTACACTCACTTCCAGCTGAAAGATCTAAATCTTCTGAAAAGGAATCAGGTAAATATTATTTTCTATTAAATCCCTTACTATTATTACTAATGTTGTTTCTACAGATGAAGAACAACTCGACCGTAGTATTTATGACCCATACGATCCGTTTGATTTTCTTTACTCTGCACCATCAGTTGATTCCCAAGGGTCTGAGCCAATTTATAGCACAATAACAAAATGTCCAAACACTCCTACGACTGGGCCACCTTTACCACCGAGAAATAAAGTACCTGTTTATGCAACATCTTCTAAAGTAAAATTTTTTTTTTACTTCCAGCAATAATTTTTGTACGTATTTGCTAATAAAAACATTTTAGGTTCAAATGAGACGACAAAGTAGATTATATGAAAATGTTGTTCGTAATCGTCGATCAGCATTAGTGGACCCAGATTTACTCGCCTTCCATACTCTTGTTAAGGAACTGAGGGGTATTTATAAGATATATATTTTTTTATTAAATCAAACTTTTTCTATTAAACTCCAACCAAATTTTTAACAAATTGACTACTAAATTAACAATTGAGCTTTACAAACTAACAAGAAGAGGCTATAGACGTGTGCTCACTGATTTTAATGAACTTTCTTTTGATGGTACTAGGTCAAAAATAATAGACATGTGACAGAGAATTCTTGCCAATGGGGCCCGAGGTACTGACAAATAAATAAATAATTTACACAATTTAAATTCACTAATTTCGTGGTCCGCTTGACCAATTAATATATTCGGATTATTAACCGGACCAATTAATATAGAGCGGACCACGAAATTAGTGAATTTAATGATTTAAAATGAAGTATACTTCACTAAAGCTCTCCGTGGCCATTTCATTTGTCGTCAAGATTCCAATCCGATTACACGACATTTGAAAAATGGCAAAAAGGAGGGAAAATTCAAAAGGTGTGGTTGAGATGGGAGGTTGGTGTCCGAGTGGATTGAGGTCACGATAGCTCAAGTGGTAGAGCAGCGGCGTATCAAGCCGAAGATCGTGGGTTCGAATCCCGCTCGTGCCATTGACTTTTTTATCTCAACTAAAAACCTTAATTAATTGTAATTTACACAATGTTTTAAAACATGTTTTGTTTGCCTTCGTTGATTATTACTTTTTAAAATCTAGGATGAGAAAATATAAAGAATTGTATTAAATTAGATTAGATATATAAAAATGACAAAAAACAAAATATGGTTCCAGTAAAGAAGGTAAAAAATTTTTGTTTGGAAAAAAAATTATTTGGATTCATTTTAATCAGCCTTTAAACCCCAAATACGAATTTTTATGAACTGATACTCGATCACTTATTGGGTCTGTCTTCACTTGAGGGTTTGTTGAACTATTCAAACATGTTTCTGCATTGTGCCATCTTCAGTGAGGACGAAGATATAAGTTTTACAACAAAGTGACAGACTGAAGATGGCACAATGTCTAAACGTGTTTGAGAAGTTCAATAAACCTTTGAGGGAAGATGGAACCAATAAATGGCCGAGTGTCAGTTCAGCATGAGTTGACCAACACCCAGCATCAACAAATTTTTATGGTAGAGACAAAATAATAAAATTTCAACTAGATTGTAGCCCAAGCTAATATAATATGCCCCTCATTGGAAAGCTGGATTGTTGTACATACAGCACAACTCAGTAACATTTAGATTTTATGTTACTATAAGTATGATGGGACGTATGCTTCAGGTCCTCTTTGGTACTCAAGACATCCATTTTCAAATAAACTCCATGGCATCATTTGGCCATTTAATGACGTTATCAATTAGCATTTTTGTCTCAGCCTTCTCTGCATTATATTAAAAACTAGATTAGATAACTAGTAAATAATTAACAAGAATAATTGTATTGTGTGATGATCTCCCAGCATCGATAATTTCCTTAGCTAATTGATAACATAATTGAGCAGCTATATTGGCGTAAAAATAGGGAAAATTTAAATAGTTGATTGAGATGAGGAGTTGGTGTCTCGAGGACCGAAGTCACGATAGCTCAAGTGGTTGAAGCACCAGGGTACTGATGCGGAGTTGTGGGTTCGAGTACTGCTCGTGACACTAATTTTTCATCTCACCCTTCTCTACATTATATTAAAAACTAGTTTAGATAACTAATAAATAATTAATAAGAATAATTGGAATCAGTGATAAACCATAGTCTCTTCTTGTAAGAACAGAGCAATTTCAGACATACACAACTTCGCATCCTATCTTATAATACTTACCTTCCACTTCAGACAAAGAAAAAACTTTATTCTTCGCTCAACACTTTCCAAAATATTTTGCCCTTTTCCTGACATAATCCACATCATATGTCTTTTCCTATACCTTGTTTGCTAGTTTGGGCTTTGTGATATGAGCAGGAACTGTGCAGTCAGTATAAAATACTTTCACAACTTCTAGACTTAACGACTAATGTACAATATGATAATAAAACCAATTTGAATGCGAACTATTGGGTTGAACCAAACATTCCGACTATCATCTTATTCAGCTTTCCAAATCCAAAATCCTCTGACAAATAGTAAACTTCTATATATCCAATCTCACAAATCCTTTTCTTTTCACCCCTTTAAATTCACTAATTTCGTGGTCCGCTTGACCAATTAATATATTACAATTAATTAAGGTTTTTAGTTGAGATAAAAAAGTCAATGACACGAGCGGGATTCGAACCCACGATCTTCAGCCAGATACGCCACTGCTCTACCACTTGAGCTATCGTGACTTCGATCCCCTCGGGCACTAACTTCCCATCTTGAATGGCAAAAGGGAGGTAAAATTCAAAAGGTGCGGTTGAGATGTGAAGTTAGTGTTCGAGTGGATCGAGGTCACGACAGCTCAAGTGGTAGAGCAGCGGCGTACCTAGCTGAAAATCGTGGATTCGAATCCCGCTCGTGACATTGACTTTTTTATCTCAACTTAAAACCTTAATTAATTGAATTACTTTGATATGTTGCTTCGTCATTCGTTCATATAATGTGTTTTTTAATATACGGCATAAGAAATTATTTTAATATGACAAGGAATTTTACCTACTTTGCAAATACACAAAAACAATCAATCAATTTTTTTTTTTTTTTTTTTTAAAGCAGGAAACAAAAGTTGGTATTCTTTTTCTGGACCCAAAATACCCCCAAGTTACAAATTTTTGACAAAATAAAGAAATTTTTAGAATAAGTCATTATTTCTTCCTTTATATATTTTTTTCCATTTTTTCCATTGAAAGCTAAATGTTTCCACTTTTAGACTATGTTAATAAAATCACCAACACTAATAAAAGACACCAACATCCCACCTCAACCCCACCTTTTAAGTTTTCCCTCCTTTTTGCCATTTTTTTTCCAAATGTCGTGTAATCGGATTGGATTCTCACCCCTTTAAGTGTAAAGTTTTACACATCTTGTACTTTTGGCCTCAAAAAATTATTTTCTTTTATAGGTAAATTCAAATACACAGATTCAAGCACAAATTTAGGATTGGTTATAAGCCCGTCAATAGAGCACAACTATAATTCTGGCACCAGTGTAAAATTAGTGATTCATTGTCCTACATTAGAAAATAACAGTAATGTGACATTTACATGTGATGGCAAGTATTAAATTTTGAGCAATCCATTTGTTATTCAACATACAATTATGTTTCTAATTAATTCATTTAGTGAGTTCTACGGTAGAACATGTTCTCGGCCATGTTGCCTGTGAAATTGGTCATGATTCAATATCTGACCATATTTTGAAGGTGTATGGTCAAGAAGAATATCTAGAAATTCAATCATCATTGTGTGATTATGAATATGTCCATCAATGCATAAAACTTGATAAAGATATCGAACTTACCTACCTTGACGTCAGTACTTTACATAGACCTTTCTTAAGAACAGTAAGTAATATTTATTGAGATGTAATTTTTTTTTTGTAATATGAATTTATAATTTCAGGCAGAAGATGATATAAGGGATTGTCAGATCACACTGGATGATTTAATTCCTAAGGAGCCTGTTCAGCCTATATCACACGAATCACTCCTAATCCTTCTTGGTAATATAACATAAAATTAAATATCCATATTTATGTCAATAAACAATGAAATATATATAAAAAAAGAACTTACAAGTGGCAATCAAGTGGCCAGGGGTCACCGATTTCAATTAATTGTTTTGGTAATACTAGGGTAAAAATTTTTAACACTGCCTGAGCATTTTTGCAAATGGGGCACTAGTTGTCGACAAATAAGGTTTTCTGCCTTATGCTATGCATGTATTTTGAAGGTCATTACATTGGTTGATTTGTTTTTCACATATGATAAGGGAATAACACACAGGAATACATGCAATGAGATATATGAAAAGTTATTGAAACAAAAAAGACATTTTTAGTAAAGTTGCCAAAAAAATTGTTTTTGAAAACAAAAAGATTCACTTTAGGCACCTTTTTAAATCCTTAAATACAAATTTTTATAGTAATTCAAAGGTAGACATCTTCGCGATGGATTTGTAGAGGCAAGTTTTTATTTTCCGATGTTCATGTGTTCAATTTTAAAAATTCATAACTACTTTGGGTTTTATCCAAATTGAGTATTTATACAATCTTAGAAAGTCGAATTCCTCTACTTTTCGGCTATGTCAACAATTTTGAGATTTCATGTCATTATAAGTGAGAAAAAGAAAGTTGAAATTTGCTAAAACTGAAATTTTATTTTTTATATTCGGTTCTCTTAATATTAATTTTGACTTCATTGTGCATGTATTCTAACATATTATATATAATCCTGTTGTTTTTTTTATATTTTTTTTAACCTAGAATAAGGAAATAATAAGCAAGATTGTAAAGATTGTATTAAATGAGATAAGATATATAAAAAGTTACAAAAACCAAAAGACACTTAGGCAAAATTAGGTTAAAAAAATTAGGAATTGTTTTATTTAACTTTAACCACTCTTTTAAGCCAGGGGCAGTTTTTTCTACTTCGATGCCTGGTGTTCTGTTTTAACAAATAACTTCTCAGAATATTATCCAAACTGAACGTTTATATAACTGTATGTTTAGTGACAGTTAATGATTATTTGGAGAACGTGAGATGCGGTCTGGTGATATGTAGGTTTAGAAAAACATTTTCTTTATCGTGCCAACATTTCGATCTTTATTGAGAGTTAATATAACTGTTGTAAAAAGTTGAATTCCTCTTCTTTTATACAATGTTAACAATTTAGAAATTTCATGTCATTCCATGTAAGAAAATAAGTTTGAAATTGAGACAAAAACTGATGAAACATTTTATTTTTTATCTCTGGTTTTTTAATATCAATTCTGCCCCCATTCCAAGATAATTACATATCATTCAATTAACTTAAGATAAGAAATAAATAAGCAGGAATATAAAGTAAAGATTTTAGTGGATTGGTGGAGTCATTTTAAAGTTATCACCATTTTAACGATATTAAAAAAAAAAAAAAAAAAAAAAAAAAAAAAAAAAAAAAGTGGCATTTTTGGAAAATGAAAAACATGAGGGAAAATATTTTTTTACCAAAAAAATGTTTTTGAGGTTATTTCAGGGTGTTTCTTGCTAAACAAATTTTCAACCTACTTTGCTACATTGCTCTGACACAAAATAATTATTGTATTTGTTCACCAGTGGATTGATCCTTTTTGTGTTTTTACAAAGTTGGTAAAATTCCCTGCTGGATTAAATTTAAATTTTCTGGAAAATCAGAAAACAATTTTTTTCTCTCAAATTTTTCAATTTTTTCAATTTTCCTAATTTTTTATTTTTTATTTTATTTTGGAGATAACTTTGAAATAACTTCACTGAGCCGAATAAAACATAGCTTTGGTTTAGAACACTATAACCTGCACACTAGACAATGTACAGTTCCAGGTGTCATAAATGTCATTATTCAGTCAGCACATTGACTCTCTTAATACATAGTTTCTTTTTTCATTTTTATCCTCCATTTTACCAATCTTCTAGCACAGTGGTGAGGTGATTTGGGAAATAGAAGCTTAGAAGCAAAGAACGGGCTGGAGTGAGACAAGAGGATAGCAGAGTTATCAGCAAAGATGGAGATAAGTTTGCGGAAGTAAGAATGTCGACAGTAATTGACTGACATTATAATAATAATTGATGCGAGGATACTTCCTTGGGAGAATTGGTTTTTGTAACTTTTCTATTTATTAACCTACATTAAAGAACAAATTGTCTGTCATATATTGGGTTGTCCGGAAAATAATGCAGGATTTTGGTATTAAACAAAAAAAAAGAAACTAGTTACTTTAAAGCAATGTTCTTTAATCAAAATAATTTCCCATACTCTCAATACATTTCTCCCAACGTGTTGGTAACTTATTAATTCCGTCTGAGTAGAATTCAGAATTTTTAGAATTGATAAAGTCAATAAATGCATTTTCCAGTTCCGTTTGATTTTTGAATATTATGTGTTGTAAGTAGTGGTCCAGGTGTCTAAAAAAATGGTAGTCAGTAGGCGAGAGGTCCGGAGAGTAGGGTTGGTGAGGCAAAGTTTCATAGCCAAGCTCCAATAATTTTTGTGACGTTACACGTGACACATGTGGTCGAGCGTTGTCATGCAACAAAATGGGCCCTTTCCGATTGACCAAAGAGGGCTTCATTACTGCCAATTTCTGATGCATGGTATTAATTTGGTTACAGTATGATTCAGCATTGATGGTTTCGCCAGGATTTAAGAAGCTGTAGTGTATTAAACCAAATGAAGCCCACCATACCGTAACCATTACCTTTTTTTGATGAGTTGGGGGCTTTGGAGCTTCTCCTTTGTCGAGCCACTGTCCAGAACGTCTAGTGTTATCGTAGAGAATCCACTTTTCGTCACATGTAACAATTCTGGCCAGAAATGGGTCATTTTTGTTTCGACAAAGAAGTGATGCACAAACATCAAAGCGCTGATTTTTTGGCGATCGTTTAATGAGTGTGGAACCCAATTTTCGAGTTTTTTCACTTTTCCAATCGCCTTGAGGTGGTCAGCGACGGTCGTTTTACTGACTTTGAGTTGCTCTGCAAGTTCTCGAACAGTTGTTTTGGGGTTTTCTTCCACCACTGATCGCAGAACATCATCATTAAGAGAGGAAGGCCTTCCACGACCTTCTTCAACTTCAAGGCTGAAATCTCCCTCCCGAAATTTTTTAAACCACCTTTGCACAGTGCACTCATTAACACAACCCTCGCCCCAGACTTGGTTAATGTTTCTAGCCGTTTGGGCTCCGCTTCGGCCGAGTTTAAACTCGTAAAAGAAAATCGTACGAAATTCTCGCTTTGACATTATAAGGATGACTGAATTATTTCCAAGTAGCGGAATGCTACAGAGGTAAACAAACAATATCATTTGGAAGAGGATTAATAAGTGTTGACATTCATACAAATGAGTAATCCTGTAAACGTAAACAGAATATTTTATATAGATTTTTTTTAATGAAAACTTAAAATCCTGCATTATTTTCCGGACAACCCGATAATAACATTGTGCATGCACAATGAAGGCAGAAAACCAAATTATTTCTCAGCTCAGGCGTGTCTACTATTTTTGAATATAGTATCTCAAAAAAATAAAATTCATTGAAATCAGCCACCTGAGGCTCCCATTGTAAGTCATGGAGTTAAATTGAAAAATTTTCATCTATTTGATAAATTTGCAGAAACATTAGAAAAGGAGATAGAAAGGGTAGTGACAACATGTAAAGAAATGTACAATAGTAGTTCAAATGAAACAGTTGCGAATTTACAAACTGAAAGTGTTAAACAGGCAGTGAAAGCCGTCTGTGCACTTTTAGGAAATATAGAAACACTGCAAATAACGCACGCAGTAGATAATTTTGTTAATGTGTGCCGAGAGTTTCCGAAAAACAGGGTAAATTAAATTTCTGTAGGTTGATCAATACAAATTTGTTTGATTGATTACTTCATTTTCTAGGTGAATGCTCGTAATAAGTCAGAAATTATAAGCGAATCTGGAGATTATTCTGTGATAAGACTTGGTAGTGATGACTCTGTAACTTCCAATATAAATTATTGCTGTGATCAAATTCGGACTGCTGTTCAGGGTCTAATCCAAATGTACAGTCATATATTTCGAGTAGATTTTCATTTATCCACCCCTTCTCAAGTGGTTGAAAGTAAGTCGAGATATAATTTTTATTTATTTGAAAATGTTCATTTTATTTAATTTCAGCTCAGAAGTATTCATCAGAAATTGTCGATTCTGTACTGATATATATTGGATGCGTTCATCATCTACTTTCAAAGTGGCAGTACAACGAGTACAGAGTCGAAGCACAAATTTTTCATGGCACACGACCTATAAGTCAAAGGATTTCTTCAACAAATGCTTTAGCTTCTTCTGGTTTTCAGCCGAGGATTGTTTTTGACTGCTGGTAAGTCAATTTTCACAATTATATAAACATATCAAATAAAAATTATCGCCGGTAATCTTTTCCCCTGATTGGTTGCTGATTTAAGTAAAATGTTTTACTTAAAATGGAGGTAAAGAGGGTTTAAAAATTTATTTTGAAAAACAAAAACAATGTGGATGCATTTTCAGCACCCTTTGAACCCATCGTATAACGCAATTTGAATACCAATACAAACATGGATAGTTTTGGATTCAATTGGGGGGCGTATTTTTTCTGCTTATTTCTGGAGTTCTATTAAAAGTTCATGGACTTTCTTGGTTACATGGTGTATCAGAGAAGTCATTTCAAAGTTATCCCCATTTTTGTGGGGGGAAAAAACGGGAGGAAAAGGTCTAAAAATTTGAGAAAAAAAATTGTTTTCTGAATTTTCCAAAAATTTGTATTCAGGAAATGAATTTGTTGTTGATTTAAAAAATACATTTTAACTTACTTTGATATTCACTATTTTTCGTGGTCCGCTTGACCAATTAATTTCATTAAATTAATTAAGGTTTTAAGTTGAGATAAAAAAGTCAGTGTCATGAGCGGGATTCGAGCCCACAACCTTCGGCTAAATGCGCCACTGCTCTAACCACTTGAGCTGTCGTAACTTAGATCCACTCAGACACCAACTCTCTATCTCAACCTACAACAAAAAGTTACTAAAAACTAATTCTCAGGCTTACTTTACTGAAAACCTTATTGGCAGATCAAACTAACCATCGAAATATTTTACATACTTGATGAGACTGATAACATAGCAAACTAGCTGAAATATTTTTTTAGCATGAAACAAAGTTGATATTCATTTTCTGAACCCCAAAATACCCCTAAATACAAATATGTGGGGAAGTCCAAAAAAAAATAATTTTTTTTAACTTCATAATTTTAGCCTTACAGACGACTAATTTCTTTCGTTCTTTTTTTTTTAAATTCTTAGCGGCATATCAAGCCGAAGCTCGTGGGTTCGAATCCCACTCGTGACACTGACTTTTTTATCTCAACTTACACAAATACACAATTTGTGACCGAGCGACATAGCAAAGTAGGCTAAAATTTATTTGTATCAAGAAAAATAGTTGATATTTGTATCCTGCACTCCTGAAAAACCCCAAATACAATTTTTTTAAAATTATTAGAAATGATTGTTTCTCTCCCTCTAATGTTTTGCCCTACTCCTCAGTTTTTGTTTGTTTGAAAAAAAAAAAAAATAGAACCCAATAATGTAATGACACTAACCTCACGTCCTTAAATAAATCAGAATCAGAGATATAAAATATAAGATTTTAAGAGCTTTTGTTGTTCCTATACTTACTTTTCTCATTTATAATGGTGTAAAGTCTAAACATTATTGACATAATATGAAAGTAGAAATGTTCAGCTTTTCAACTGTTGTACTAACATTGAATTTGGCTAAATCCAAAAGAGTAATGAAATTTTTAAGTGGAACAATAGTACTCAGAAAAAGAAAAAAAAATGCCTTGGGCAAATCCAGTTTAAAAATGGCCTATTTTCCTGATGCAACTTCCCTTCAAGCAAACCAGAGGTTACCACTGTCACATTAATTAACAAAGGCTTTTGGTATATCTTCAAAAAGGATTGTGTAAATAGAATATCATCGTATTTGCTACTATTGAGTCTTCTTTTTCTTTTAAATCTGGCATTCTTTGATAAAACTGCAAACCATTTGGTACGTTAAGATGAAGTGCATTTGTTGAGTTTGACCCATGCCAAACCAACTGAAAAAACTCTTGGTATAACATCAAATTATCTGTGTACATAGAATTTTCAGAAATACATCTACTCCTCCTGTTAGGCAGTGGCTTTGGATTACAAAATTCAGGATCAACTAAGTTATACCCTGCTACCTCATTGCACAATTTTTCTGACAGCATCGTAGAGGGTAAAGGAGGATTTAAATTTAAAGATTTAGTATTTCTTTGAGTCTGATAAAGTTTTTAACAATAAGAAACATTCCTCATGAGAAACGTTTCACAGCATAAATCATTGCCATTAATTTTTTGAATGTCCCACCAATCCGGGACAGACAGGCTCGAAACATCACATGAGATTTCTCGCTTGTTTTACATCTCATGTAAAATTTTCAAGCTTCATTTTTGTTTTATTTCAGGCTTAATTTTGAAACAACTAGCGTAAGCGTTCTACCTAGGGAATCTCGGATAGTAATCACAGCATACGGAATTCTGTTTGGAGAGGATCAGGGACAGTCTTCATCCCCAGTTCAGGAAGAATTGGGCTGGGGAGCAATACAGCTTTTCGATTACAACGGGTTAAGAATTTGGGATTAGATAAATATTATACTACAATACTTTAATAGAAAAAATTATAATAATTATTATTATTGCAGGTACATTGTTAAAGGGAACTTTTTACTTTCCCTTTGGCCTGGTGGAGATAACTCAAAAAAAGTAGGACCAGCTCCTTGTCCTGGAACTCATCCTAATGGAGATGTTGCCCCGATTATTGGTATATAAATAATTAAAAATTTTTATTTATATTCTCTCCAGTTCTCAGATTTAAAAAAATGATTATTTCTGTCAAAGAAAAGATGGAAATCACGTTCTTGAGAAAGAGAAAATTTTTGTCTGTGTACATTCGTTCAATTTTTTTTATTTTGAAATCGAATCTTTTTGCTATTTAGGGTGAGTTTAACTTCTGGTTCCCCCTACATTTTTTTATTCGGGTTTTCAGAAAAACCCCTAGATACGTTAACTTTTTGTCTATTTTTACATGAACCAAAAAAGTTTTGATCACATTTTCTAGGATCATGGGATATGGATAATTATTTCAAATGACAAGGCATTCATCTTTATTTGGAGATCGTAAGATGTGGTCTGGTGTGAGTTAGGTTTAGAAAAACATTTTTTTTTATCGTGCCAACGTTTCAATCTTTATTGAGATCATCTTCAGGGCCTGGGATTTATAAATATTGTTTAAATTTTGCAATACATGTAGGATATAAAAAAGATGAATTTATACAATGCTAGAAAATTTTAGATAAAAAAAAATAATGACTATATAATGATAGAAAATTTTAGATTTATTATATTTATTTAGTTATTTTTTGATAACTTTAAATTTTTATTTTTATTAATTTTCTTGCAGTACTTTATATCAGAATTTTTATATTTAATTTTATATCATTTTTAATTTTAACTGTAATTAAGTTTCATATGGTTTGCTAAGAGCCAATTACTTAATATGAAAAAACAATTGGCATATAGTCTCCGAAGTTTTTAATGCTTTAAAAAATGTGTTAATTTAAAATTTAAAATAGTTAATTTGATGTAAAAAGTGTTAATTGATGTTAAACGTTAAATTAGCATGTAAAAAAATCACATCAAAATTAGTCAGTGAATGCATCCAAAATGTCCAAAACCTGGGGAAACACTACAACCTGATAATATCTTGATACCAGAGCACAAAGAAATTTTGGGTAACGAAAAAGCAGACACATTGGCCAGAGGAGGATCTACAAGATCATAAATAGGCCCAAACTTGGGATTACAAAAAACAGAACCTCCATCGCAGAATGGATCCAAATAAAACAAAAGAAGTGGATAAACTCTAAAGCACAAACCCCGCTTCCTAGTATCCTCATCATTATCACCATCATAGATAAGATATAGGTGTGGATTTATTCTGACATTTGTGCTTTTGAATAATAACAAAACAAACATAGAAATGTTTTAATATATAGTAACACTCACCTTCAAAATTTTCACACTAAAGTTTAGTTTTTACATTCTTCAAATTACTGTGCAAATTGTAAAACTGGCTCGTACGTTAGAAGTAAAAGTAGAGATGATTCTGCTGTTTGGAAAAGTTGACTGAAATTTGCATCATGAGAAACTAGACAAAATATAAAAAGTCTTCATGTTTCGGGGTTTTTCACAAAAATGCCCTGATAAAAAGACAATATAATGGGAGGGGAGAAGTTAAACTCACCCTGTATGTGGACCCTTCCAATGTAGGGACAAAATCCTTGAGGGGTTTCTGGCTCTCTACTTGTACTTTATTATTATTCAATTCTGCAATTCATAAATTATTTCTATAGGTATCGAGCTTCCTGATTATGGCGGTCAGATCAAGTTTCCCCAAATCGAAAAGGTCAACAACAACAAGCAAACTTTTCAAGATTTCAATTCGCTCGATATTAACACTCAACAACAGTTACTTGACATCATCCATCAGGATAGTTTCACTAGGTATGCTTACCGTTTAAAATCTTGACTTCTTTTATATTCAAACTCGATTACAGGCCACAAATTGAACTCCGTGAAGTCCTGTGGGAAAAGCGACATTATCTTTTGGAACATCCTCAGGCACTGCCGAAAGTTCTTCTTGCGGCGCAAAGCTGGGATTACACTTCTCTTCCTGAATTACATTCAATCCTGGAAGCTTGGACTCCTATGGATCCTGTTAGTGCATTGCAACTTCTACTTCCAATGTAATCATTATTTATTGTTTAAATTAATATGAAAATGAGCCCTTCATTTTCACCATGTTGTTCAGTGTATTTTAACATACCTTGCTGGCTAGGTTTCCTGATGAAGTTGTAAGAACATTCGCTGTGAACTGGATCAGAAAATTAACAAACGATCAAATGGTCGACTATTTTCCTCAAATAGTTCAAGCATTGAAATATGAGAACTATGAAGCTTCGGAACTCTCCAAATTTCTTCTAGAAAGATCTTTGAGCTCTCCTAGGGTGGCGCATCATTTGTACTGGCTATTGGTCCATGAACTTCCAGGTGAAACACCTCAGGTGATTATTTCCTATCAGTTTAGATCATGTGTTTTAAACTGTTGAATAATTTGTGAATTCTAACTGTACAGAACACGTGTGATCCAGTTGCACAAGATGAATCACGGATTTCTGATGCACGATATTATCGCAGGCTTCAACTTATTTTAAGAGCTTTAATTGCCATATCGGGCGAATCCCTCCGTAAAACATTTATGAGTCAACAACTGCTTGTCAAGGTAAAAAAAAAAAAAAAAAAAAAAAAAAAAATACCCTGTTTGACAAACAGTATTGTACGAAATATTAAATTTGTTTCAGGGCTTGGCAGAAGTTGCAGACAATGTTAAAACATGCAAGGAATCAACGAGGCTTAACGTTCTAATGCAAGGATTGCACAATGTTTCATCGACTCTCTCGTCGTCACCGACATGTCTACCGCTGAACCCGGCATTATATGTAAACGGAATTCAAGTGAAGTCTTCTTCATACTTTCCTTCAAACACACTTCCTTTAAAGATAAATTTTACAAATGAAGAATCCGATATAATGCCGGCGATATTCAAAGTGAGTCTAACTATATTATTGTAATTGATCAAATTATTTTTGTATTCATTATCCATAAATCACCACTTAATTTATTATATAATACTCTAAGACCGACTATGGGTTAGGAATTGGTATATACAGAAATAAACCGAGGTCTAGAATGCATGTAACTTATGCTTAATGAAGAGCTGTAGATAATAATGGAAATTGCCCAATAGACCAATCAATATTGGTTACGGTGTGTAACGTTGTGCAGAGATTGATCCCTTTAAAATTTAACCAAAAATATTAAATTTCAGTGTTGTTGGAAAATAGAAGGTTTTTGGTTGGATACTTGAATATTTTTTGTTTAACCATTTTGCATCACCAGAGGAGTCAGGATATGTTGAGCTAGGTTAGGTATGGTTAGGGTTAGGAAAGGGGGAGTTGAGGTAGGTTAGGGACTAGATAAGTTAGATTAGGAATGGGATGAATTGAGTTAGGTTAGAGATAGTTAAGGTTAGGATCAGGACAGATTGAGTTAGGTTAGGTAGGATTAGGGATGGGTTGGGTTGAGTGAGGTTAGATATGGTTAGGGTTAAGGATGGGATAGGTTGAGTTAGGTTAGGTATGGTTAGGTTAAGGACACATTAAATTATGTTATGGATGGGACGGTGGATTGAGGTAGGTATGGTTAGGTAAGGGACAAGTTAAGTTAGGTTGTTAAGGATGGAATTGATTGAATTAAGTTCGGTATGGTTAGGGATTTTGTTGTGCATTTGTAAATTTCTTAATAGTCTTCTATGTTCACTTTCACAACTTATAACCACAATTGGAATTTAGGTTGGTGACGATCTGCAACAAGACATGCTGACTCTTCAAATGATCTGTATTATGGATAAGCTTTGGCTGAAGGAGGGAGTCGATCTGAAAATGGTTACGTTTCAATGTGTTCCGACTGGTCACAAGAAAGGTATGCATCAAATATTATTTTATATAAATTTCTATAATAATATTTTCCCCACATTCATAAGTACTGTTGTAAATATAATTTATTATTTGTTTGTTTTTGTTAAAGGGATGATTGAATTAGTTTCTGAAGCGGAAACTTTAAGGAAAATTCAAGTTGAATTCGGGCTGACTGGATCATTTAAAGATCGCCCAATCGCTGAATGGTTGGCAAAACATAATCCTTCTGCTTTGGATTATGAGCGTGCAGTTAATAATTTTACCGGTAAGCCGTTTTTCCTTTTTGTCTAAAGTTATGTTTATCATTTAAATTAGCGTATTTACTTTTTGTGTGTTTAATTATTTGATATTACCGTTCTCATGAAGAAGCTTCTGAGTATGGTAGTGCAATTAGTACCATCACTTGTCTCACCCCTTGTTAATGATACTCAGCTTTATGTAAGGTTGTTCATATGAGACAAATGATGTGAGGTGATTTAAGTGGTGGGTAGCACTCTTAACTTCGACTGTCGAATTGTTGAATGAGAAATGTTATGGATTCTGATAACAATTTTTGTATTTTTTTTTAAGCTTCATGTGCCGGTTATTGCGTGGCTACTTATGTTCTGGGCATATGCGATCGTCACAATGACAACATAATGCTCAAAACATCGGGCCACCTTTTCCACATCGATTTTGGAAAATTTCTCGGAGATGCGCAAATGTTTGGCAATTTTAAGAGGTAATTATTGTCACATCTGGACCAAACAAAGGCCAATTTTATTTGTAAAAGTCTAAATGTTTCCCATAAGTTGACCCACTTGGGAATGAGATTTTGTCCGCTTATGAGAAGGGTCCACATAAAGTTAAAAAAAAAAAAAATCTATACATAATTTGTGATGAAACTGTTTTAATTTTAGGGATCGAACTCCTTTTGTGTTAACTTCAGATATGGCTTATGTGATTAATGGAGGGGATAAACCAACAGCAAGGTTTCACCACTTTGTGGATTTATGCTGTCAAGCTTTTAACATAGTTAGGAAAGAGTCCAATATCATCTTGAATTTATTTCTTCTGGTAATAAAAAAATAACTTTACAGTTGAATGTAGGTATAAATTTTATTTATTAACTTTTGGTTTTAAATCATAGATGGCAGCTTCTGGAGCGGGAGGACTTACAATTGAATCTGTAGAATATGTTCAAAACGCTCTCCTTCCTCATCTCACCGATGCAGAAGCAGCGGCTTCATTTGCAAGGATGATTCAAAGCTCTCTTAAGTCATGGTTTACCCAATTTAACTTTTTCCTTCACAATCTGTCACAATTACGATTCACCGGTGACCACAATGATGGCGGATTGCTCAGTTTTGTTCCGAAGGTTTATAAGTGAGTGTTTTTTTTTTAATCCTATTTTTGTACATTTGGTTTCTTTACTTTTGCCACAATCATATAGTAATGAAGGGACTGGCTCCAATAGCCTAGTTGCATAACAATGAGCAATTAAAGCTTCGAGGTAGCGTCAGGCAGACAGGGTACTGGGGATGCTGGTTGGTGCCATGACCCCTAGATTCAGATTTGATAAAAAATTCCAAATTAAAATACCTGGTAGGCAGTCAAGGAGAAGGATTCCCAATTAATGCGACCATATCCGGTATACAGACGGCTCCAAAGCTGAATATGGATCAGGAGTAATGGTGATATAAGCCAAGGACTAGAATTTATATAAACCTTCCTTTAGTTGGAGGCTGAGACTACTATACATTGTGCCAAGGAGATTATAAAAGGCTAGGTATTGTTAACAGAAGAATAACTACAAATTCACTAATTTCGTGGTCCACTTGACCAATTAATATATTACAGTTAATTAAGGTTTTTAGTTGAGATAAAAAAAGTCAATGGCACGAGCGGGATTCGAACCCACGATCTTCGGCTTGATACGCCGCTGCTCTACCACTTAAGCTATCGTGACCTCGATCCACTNTATTGAATTTGATTAATGATATTGGCGTAGCTGCGACTGAGTTTATATGTATCTGTTCTGTAATTGATGCTGTGTTTATCTCTGTTGATATAAACCATTTCTAAGAAATTACATTTATGTGTGTTTTGTTCTGTGTGTAATACTTTTGGATTTTTGAAGTCAAAATTGTGTTGGTGTTCAAGATGGTGGGTAGCGAGGGCTGTAGGATTTTGCTTAGGTTTTTTGCAATCATAGATATGTTGCTTTACTCTCTTGTCCAGATATTGGGATGTAAGACCGATGTAAGTTGCCGGACAGTTTAAACTGTTGATCTTGTAGATTACGTCAGATTTATTCGTCATTTGTGTGGGATCTTTAATTTTGGAAAAAAGTGTTTGAATTGTTTTATAATTTTTGAAAGCTATTTTGAAGTTATCGGACGAGAGAAATGTGTTTAATTTACATGATAGGCCTTGAATAAATGGCATGGAAATGTATGCTGGTTTGTTTGTATTGTATGTAAGTAACCTTTTGGCCGTGTTTATTATCGTATGAAGGGGATGGTGAGATGTAAAGTTTCTTGGTTTTTGATACCAATCTGTGATTAATGTGCCATCTGGTTGTCTTATTACAAGTGTATCTAAAAATGTTTTTTTTTGTTGTTTTCGATTTCTTGTGTAAATTGTAGGCGTGGGTGAAAGCTATTAAATGTATCTAATGTAGTTTGAATTTGATCTGTGGAACAGCTGTCAATATATCATCTACGTATTTAGTGAGGAAGGGTAATGTGAAAGGAAGTTGTGGTATGACTGTATTTAGTAGATGTGTCATGATTATGTCTGCCAGTATCGGGCCTAGGTTGCTACCCATGGCTATATCAAATAGTTGTTTGTAAAATTGATTGTCATATGTAAAATATCCGTTAACACAGCAGTGTCGGATCATTGTAATGAACGTGTTCTTTGATAGAGTTGTGTGTGGTGTTATGTTGGGCCATTTATTTTTAATAATGTTCAGTGTTGTGTCTATTGGGATGTTGGTGATCAGTGATGAAACATCTTCTGAAACCTACATCACACCAGACCGCATCTCACGATTTCTAAATATATATATAAATCAATAATGGCCAATTTTTATGTTAATCATCCCACACAACAAGGAGAAATCCCACATGTTTATTATTACTAGTGATATTTGTATAAATTTCAGCATGCAACAAGAAGGAAGAATTAAGAATGTGGAAGTGTTCAAATTTCAAAAGAGATATGACCCTGAGAAGTATTACGTTTATATTCTAAGAGTTGACAGGGAGAACCAGCAAGTGCCATCTTACCTCTTCAGATCCTTCAAAGAATTCTGTGAATTCCATCACAAATTGTTTATCTTGTTTCCACTCGCGACTCCTAGAGTTTCAAGGTAACATGCATTTAAAAAATAAATCCGTTTTCTCAGGAAAATTTGTAGAGCATTTGTCTAGAATGATGACCTCTGCTATTACAACAAAATTCATTTATTTATTCATTTTTAGCCTTCAGGGTTCAAGTTTGCATGTTGGAAGGTCAAATATAAAACAAGTCGCTGCCAAAAGAATGGTAGAAATAAAGAAGTTCCTTAACACCCTTTTCAAAATGGCCGATGAAATTTGCCATTCAGATTTAGTTTATACTTTTTTCCATCCTTTGTTACGGGATCAACAAGAATCTTCCATCCACGAACACAAAGTCAAAGGTGATTTAATTACATTTTTATCAGCATACTTAGAATTTTTCAATTTTAAACATCCTTTTCAGATCGCAAAAAAGATAGATTGACAAATAACATGCCTGGAAGGATTACTGGACAAATTAAGTTATCTATGCACTACCAACGTGATACTCTATGGGTAAGATTTTATTTCTTATCGTACAATTCATTTAAATACACTTAATATGATACATGCAAGTATATAATATAAAATAAATTCTAAATATTTCAGGTAATGGTTCATCATGTACAAGAGCTTTCCTGTCTTATTAATGGGCAAGAACCTTCAACCTATGTCAAGGTGTATTTAAAACCTGATCACTCAAAAGCGACTAAACGGAAAACGAAAATTATCAGAAGGAACTGTCATCCATCATTCATGGAAATGGTAACAGTTATTAAAATAAAGTGTTTGATAATGAGCTATGTCTGATTTGTAAATATCTCTACATCGTACTTAAAAATAGTTGAAACCTATTTTACACTGAAATTCTATTTAACTTAATATTTTTGTAAAATTTTGAAACAGGCTTTGAGGTTCTCCATTGTAGCATGGATATTTTATGGGCTGGATACACAACTTTTTTATGTGAACATTGTACGTGTTACTACCAGTGGGCATTGGTTGTGTTAGATTAGGTAGTGTTAGAGATAGATACAGGTTATGTTAAGTATGGTTAGGTTAGATTAGGTGAGTTAGGGATAGATACAGATTAAATAAGATTAGGTAGTGTTATGGCTGGATACAAGTAAGGTTAAGTAGGGTTAGAGTTTGAATTACAAAATATAGTGTTTGGGATAGATATGAGTTGGTTAGGTTAGGAATGGTTTGGGGTAGGGTTAGGTTAGAATAGGTAGTGTTTGAGATAGATACAAGTTAGGGTAGTTTAGGAATGATTATTATGTTAAGTAGGGTTTAGTTAGATTAGGTAGTATAAGAGATAGGTTAGGTTAGGTTAATTAGTGTTTGGGTTCATTTAGATTAGGTAGTCTTAGAGATGTGTACAGTTAGGTTAGGTTATGTAGGGTTAGGTTAGAATAGGTAGTGTTTGTGATAGATACAAGTTAGGGTAGTTTAGGTTATGTTAAGTAGGGTTTGGTTAGATTAGGTAGTATAAGAGATAGGTTAGGTTAGGTTATGTAGGGTTAGGTTAGATTAGGTAGTTTAGTTTGCTTTAGATTGCTCTTACTTCTTTTGAGGTGGAACAATTCCTTTCAAAATTTGACCATACATTCTTCAGATATTATAGTTTTCAACGGAATTAAGTAAACGAAAGAAGAAAAACAAACAAAGTTGTATTTAATTGAAAATTTAGTTTTTAGTTATGTATTTTAAAATATATTAAATCAAACAAAAAACAAACAAAATTGGTTTAGCTCAACTCTGCACATGTGTTTACGTACTCATCAGTACAGAATTGAAAAAATGGTATATATACAAAAATAAATATAGATGAATAAGAACAGTAAAAACAAAAATATAATATATTCCAAAAATTACTGTGAACAGAAACGATGTAAAACTAAAACTGAGGGCACCTGGCAGACATGAGGCGAAATATCAGAAAGACAATAAGGTAGATATTATGGAAGGGAGAGGGCTAGGAAAGGCAAGAGCAAGAGAAATACAAAAGCAGGACATTCCCAATGAGGAGATATTATGGCTGCAAGGTTTTTCCAGAAAAATGATCATATCGCTATTTCTCAAAAATTTGGGAGTGAGGACAAAAGGGTGAGAAAAGAGTGATTCGCTGGATAGGTACTGTGTGGGTGTCACCCATTCATCATTGAGGTGCCTACTACTTATTAGAAATGTGTAATGATTAGTGACTTTTAGTCGATGATTATTCGATTACTTCTTATTAGATACAACCTCAGTCAAATAGATACGTTGAGTGTCGAGGTGGAGCTTTTAAAGAGAGATTTTTTTAACTTCATTAATAAATTTATAATGTCTGTGCCAATTTTTTCCCCCCGACATGAGCCAAAGCTGCAAAGCAGATCGGTGAATTCTGCACAACTTTTTTTAACGTTTTTTTCTTTCAGCTCGAGTACCGCATGCCTCTAGAAATTGTGAAACATAGATATTTGCAAGCCACCGTCTGGAACCACGATACCCTACAGGAAAACGAATTTCTCGGAGGTGCTGAAATCGTTTTGAGCAGTATGGACTTGACAAAGGAAAAAGCCGTATGGTACCCTCTTGTTCAAATCACAAGATGATGGTGCAACTAAAACTAAACAAAAAAAAGAAAAAAAGCTTTGGACATTTAAAGCCAAAAGTGAATCAATGAAATGTGATTTTTCTACTTTCTATGTGATATATATAATATAATTATAGGGCTTAGTATTTCTCTTTAAAAAATTTTCTCCCACTTTAACTTTTATTATATAATTGTTGTGAAATTGTTATTGTTATATTTTTCAAAGATATTCCTTTATTTCAGCCTTTAAATTTGAATTGCAAACAAATTAGTCTAATTCTTATATTTACTTAGTTTACATTGTGTGTGTTGTGCTATTATGAAGTTTGATTATTAATTAATACACACTCATGTTTATTAATAATGGATTGTACATCTCTTTATGGAATGTTATATTTGTTGAAATTTGCCACGTTTTTTTTTTTCTTTGATATAACAGAAAAAAATCATCCAATGATGTCAAATATTTGTTACTTTTATACCTAAAAAAAAATAAAAATAAAAACAATTGACAATTTTAACACATAATCTTGATTTTTAGAAGTTTGTGTTAAGTTTTTGTAAAGGTTTTCCCCCCACATTGAACACATACTAATTCTAGTATGAACATTTTAAATTCACAATTTAGTGTAGTGTTGAGGTTCTGACAAAACAAAGGCTTTTCAAAAAAATAATATTTTAAATGTGTTAATGTTATTTTCCTTTAGTGTCGCACAATTAGGTTAAGACAAATTGTTTTTATTTAATGTCAATTTGTTAATTACGCTGCATTGACCTGCTAGTTTTAATATAATTTCTGAACAGACAAGGCCTTATCAAGATGCCAATATAGTTCGAGTGTTATCTTTGTCGCTTTAATGTAAGATAATCGAATTTACTTTTCTAGTGTTAACATTCCATTTAAATTGTAACTTAGTTTAGTCAAGTAAAATGTTCAAATCTATTAATGCACAAAAATTTTGTTAAATACAATTTATTTATGAGAATAAATTACAGGGATAATGAGTATAAATTAGTTATTTTATTTTATTGTATTAGTCAAGTGTATTGATTTTTCTTTTGTTTTCTCTGCTACCTGTTTTATATATATGATTAACTTTTTCAATGTAAATAAACATATTTTTATATTTTTATTAATCGTTGCTTTGAATTTTGGGCGATTGTTTATAAGCTTACAATTCACTATTGTTAGTGTACTGCTATACAGATAAATAGTTCATTTTACTTTATTTTAAGTTACCATTCTCACATATGAATTTTTTTGTAACTGCAATAATAGTAGTAATAAACATAAAATATCAAGTTGACATTTCTATGTTATTTAATGGAATGTATTTTATGTTCAATCCATGTAAATTTATTCGATCATAATCATTGTTATTTCATAAGAGACAGCAAGATTTAAATTAAATATGACTAATAGTAGTCAGATTTAATCTTTTCCTAACTTTTAATAAAAAATTAATACATATTGTAAAACTAATATGGTCTGCGTATTCATTCTTGAACCAAAAGGAAAAATAATAATTATTATTAATTCACTAATTTCGTGGTCCGCTTGACCAATTAATACATTACAATTAATTAAGGTTTTTAGTTGAGATAAAAAAGTCAATGGCATGAGCAGGATTCGAACCCACGATCTTACGCCGCTGCTCTACCACTTGAGCTATCGTGACCTCGATCCACTCGGACACCAACTTCCCNACCACGAAATTAGTGAATTTAATGATTAAAAATGAAGTATACTTCACTAAAAGCTCTCCGTGGCCATTTCATTTGTCGTCGAGAATCCAACCCAATTACACGACATTTGAAAAATGGCAAAAAGGAGGGAAAATTCAACAGGTGCAATTGAGATGGGAGGTTGGTGTTCGTGTGGATCGAGGTCACAATAGCTCAAGTTGTTAGAACAGCGGCGTATCAAGCCGAAGATCGTGGGTTCGAATCCCGCTCGTGCCATTGACTTTTTTATCTCAACTAAAAACCTTAATTAATTATTATTAATCATCGCTATTGGCATTTTTATTGGTTTAATGATTTTCTGAAATTGTCTACCCTCTCCGTCCTTTGGAATAGACTAATTTGTCTTTTTTTCAAAAAGCTTGAAAAATAAAAAAATATGGTTGAAATCACCATTGGCAGATGTATGATAATCTAAATATAAGAAGAAAAATAAAGAAGAAACAATAAATTTTATTCTGAGGCTTAAAGCCCTTGAATAACAAAATTATATAATATTTAGTCAAGTGTATTGATTTTTCTTTTGTATTATCTTCTACCTGTTTCATATATGTGATGAAGTTTTTCAATGTAAATAAACACATGTAGACATCTACATAATCGTATGTAGACATGTGCCCGACAGAAGTACAAAAGAGCCCATTTACAAAATATATCCATCACAAACATAAATTAAAAGGGTAATATAATAAAATTAAAAGGGCCAATTAAGTTTAATAATTAAAACTAAGGCAACTGGTGCTAAGATGCAATGTCAGGAGTTAATCAAATATACGGGACTTAAAGGTGGGAAGGGGCGTGGTGGATAGAGGGAGAAGGGATTCCAGAAGTTGGTTGAATATAATAAAGATAGCAAGTGGTAGAGCAGCGGCGTGTCAAGCCGAAGATCGTGGGTTCGAATCCCGCTCGTGCCATTGACTTTTATCTCAACTGAAAACCATAATTAATTGTAATGTATTAATTGGTCAAGCGGACCACGAAATAGTGAATTGAATATAATAAAGATATTTCACTGCTGTCAATATCTTTAGTAGGGGGGCGTCGGTGGCTGCAAGGTTTAGTCTTTGACACGGCGCTCATCACTGTAAGGTAAAGGTCCCGGGTTCGGATCAAGCGGCCCTGCATTCGAACCCGACATACTTACAAATGGGCTTTTTTTCAAAAACACGGACACCCTGAGGGTTTATATGACCTCTGCTGTTGCGAAAAAAAAACAAAAAAACAAATTGATGAGAATAAAAATGCTATTTGGAATGAAAATTATTTAGAAGAACAGACCAACGGAAATAGGTTACAGTAGAGCACTCTTATTATTTTGCCTTACACTATCTGGTCAGGAAAATCTGAAATTAATGAAATGCCTAAAACTGAAACTAGACTAGAAAGAACTAAACCTTCGTACATTCACACTTCTTTTATTATACATAAGTTCCAAGGTAAAAATGAAATGCTTCTAGCTGGACGAAAAATTTTGAACAAGAATGTGAACCATGTAAATATTGATTTGAAAAAATTCAAATTCTACAACATTTTTTAGAGAAAAACGTGATTTAATGGTATAACACCATGCTGTTCAAGTTATTTATTTGGGTCAGAATAGTGAGTGGTCAGTGCGGTGATCTTCATTTTTAGTGACTTATTCGAACAAAGGTTGGTAGAAGGTTAGATGTGTACATATTATAAATTCATGGGAGGAGCGCTTATGGATTATGCATTAAAAAAAGACCGATTGCTTTTAGAAATAGAAACTAGCATGTTCACTCACTCATGAATAAATTCTACATTTGTAGGATTTCCTATAAACATTCAAGATATATTGTATAAAGAGGAAATCACCTCAATGAATGAAAATCAAAATTCCATTGATTTTAAACAGAAAAAAGGGAAAATAATGCAAAAGTTGCTGTTCCGAAATATGAATACTGACAAACTAACAGTAATTACTTGACAAAAAGAAAAAGTGTCCCATTTGTGGATCATTAGGTAAAACAGGTAGATTTCACCCATATCATGTAGGAACAGGGAAATACATAAAAAGTAACCAAGATGAGTAAATGCATCAGAAAAAACCCCACACATTATTATGGGTTAGGGTTAGGGTAGGGCTGAAAGGGGTTTTATTCCTATGACTTGGTCTCTCCATACTTACGTGTTAGTGCAAATATAGTAGAAATTAAGATATTTTTACAGAAAAATTCTTAAAACACATTTTCATTAGTGATTTAGGGATTTTTGTGTTTTTTAGGGAGTAAAGACTTTGATAAACCATCATCACAACTAAATGCATTAATTTATTAATTAGAAAGTACATTTGGATGTAATAACAAATTTGAATAGGAGTTGGTGTATGTTTTTGAGTTTATTAAAATCAACTCTCTGTCTGTTAAATTCAAATTGGCAGTGGAGTATTAATTACACAATAGTTATGTGCAACAATTTGTTAGGGCTATCAGATTTTTTTTTCAAATTTTACATAAATAGTTTTGAATAGAAATAATAGATGTTTAAAATTATTAAGCATTTGTATAATTTACAAAAAATTAAGTTCAAATGTACAATTTGCATATTGACATCTTGTATTTTGCATAATCAATAATCTGGTTAATTCACATCAGAAAAGATGTAAATACTGCTCAATTTCTGCTGGAAATATTTGTAACCTAAAAGAATATTAATACTCGAATAACCACTGAAAATCTGAGCCGGTTTTTATTGTTTTGAATTGAATGGTCGATATATTAATTAATATTTTACTATTACTGAAAATGTCACTATAATCAAATATTTAGCCTAAAATTTCTTTAAAAATATTTATCACAATCTAGAGGCGAAGGCTTTGTTGCCTCCGGTTTTTAAATTATATAAATATTAAAACATAAATAAAGCTAATAACCTAATAAGATTAGTTAGTAAATTGAGTTTTTTGTAAATATTTTAATGACATTTTTTGAGGCCATAACATATTTACTTACTGTGTCATTATGAGAACATATCACAGAAGAGACTCAACCAATTTTACATATATTAAGAGCGTATTTTTTTATATTATATTTTTTTATTAATAAACTACAACTGTATCAATTTATGCAATAAACAGGCTATATGACAAAAAAATGTTAAGTGTGAATATGAGCTTACATGTTGATGAACAATGTTAAGCAGCCTCTTCATGCATATGACCCCGATGGAAGCTAGAGTCGCCTCATTCTACTGTAAGGTTTCGTATGGAGAGTAAGAGTAGAAAGATCATAGATAAGGGCATTGGAATGAAACATAATTCAGAAGGGAATTTGATTTGTCAGATTTTGGCTAGGTCTAGCATCGATAATTGCGTGAAGATTTTTGACTGGATCCTGTTAAGGTTTGATTTTTCAGCCATCCAGTACAGTACAGTACAAGCTGTGTAAAGTCTTTTTTAGTGAATAGTAAGTCTTAAACTTTAAATCAGAATCATGATTCTAAGGTAAGGCGGTCTTGGAGGGATCAAACTGCTAGAACAGGATTAAGGTTTGCAAAGAGGATTAAGTACCCTTAAGTGTGTTGGGGTGTTGAGGGAAATATATGATGAAAAGGAACAGACTTAAGATGCTCCCTTCAGGAACACCAGGGATAGGATGGATCAAAGAGGTTGAGGAATGTTTTTAGGATAGTATTTACTCGAAAGGGAGGACTTAAATTTTAGTAGTAGACCCTCGATGTCTAGAAAGACTCCAGTACTTCTTATGCTCTTCAACAGCCACCGTGCTGTAGACATCATCGCATCCTTCTTTGAGTAAGAAGGAATACTGCCAGGGGTTGAATAGGCTTTCAATTGAGTCTGGCACTGGAAATTTAAGGGCATCCTCTACACACTTTCTGTAAGTCCAACCAGGTTGACACATACTTCACAGGTCAGACCTTCTCATTCTCTCTTGATCAAGGTGTCCTTGGTCTATTCAGTACTAATAATATACATTCCCATCCCGACACCTATTCTAAAATATGCTGATCACACTGTTATAAACGAACCCTCCAATCCTAAAGTCCCTTAAAGAATTTAAAAATGGTAAAAATAGATCGGTGAATTGAGACAACTTCATAGAATTTTCTACAAACACTTTTTATGAGTGTGCCAACAAGGACGTTGTAGTATTTTGGAGTGAATCTGAAATAACATAATAAATAAAACAAAAGGAGCAATGAATCTGGCAAAATGTTAACAGTCTTTTCTCATTCGAACATCCAAAATGGAAGTGTTTTATTTAATCACAAATGATCGGTAATGTTATGTATTCTTACAGATCATTGGTTGAGTGATTTGACATTTAATAAATTTGGCACATTATATTGTAACATTTTTTCCACTGTGTGTTTTATAACACAGCTAAATCTAAATTAATTAAATTCAAAATGGCATATATACATTTCCATAATTAATATACTGGACCTTACAGAAGTAAATTTGTTATTTCCTCTTAGCCATTCTACATTTTTTTATTTCATTTCAAGCATACCACCAAACTAGTACATTACATTACAATTTTGATTTTTTTTTAAATTTAAACAAATATTATTAAATGGTCTACAAAAGTTAAGGTCAATATACATAGTTGTTTAAACTCTCAACCACGAGTTATATGTTAGTGACTATTTCTCCGTCACATGAAAACATCCTCGAGTGCCAGTGCCTTTCGAGGCTGGGCACATTGGTCATCTTCGAATGTCACCATCTTGTCTTTGGTCCTTGTTGTGTTTGTTCTCAGTGCTGATGGTGGAAGAGGAGGAATCGGGTCGACAAGGACCGATAAGTTAAATTCACTTACACTACGCGGAACGAAGTACTCTATGAGAGGTTCCTGCGATCTTGACCCTCCAGTCGAATTCCTTGTCGGGGTAGATCTTGTGAAGTGATTAGAATATTTCATAAGTTCTCTTCTCCTCGGGAGGCTGTAATGTTTTAATTCAGTTGGAATTTTTTTGAGTGTGAGATCACATCCTGACGGTGCTTCACGGTGTCAAGATGATTTCACCGTTATTGATAGATCTTCTTCTTCTATTTTATCTGGTTTATGCCACCATAGACTTATTTTTCTTAGAATTATAACTATTTCATCTTGAATCAAATTAAAACACATAGCTATTATTGCCATTCCGATCAATATAAAAGCAGAGGAAACAAACACTGATAAATCATTATTCCCACTGGTAGTCCCAGGCACAAGCTCTCCAAAACCAATCGTTCCGAGGCTAGTAAAACAAAAATAGGAACCTTCAATAAAACTCCAGTTTTCGAGTTTATTGAATAAAAAGGCACCACCAGATATATAGCCAATTACAATTAATAATGTAAGGCAAATTGGCACACGCTCTCGAGCTTGAGGTAGACAAGGGATTTCGTGTTTTTTAGGTGATATATGGTTCTGTAGTAAAGTTTTTGTCCCTATTACAGAAGAATCGTTTTTATTGGCAGACGCTTTGGCCTTATGACTTTTGGTGTGGGGCAATTTGCTGTACAGACGCCTAAATTGTTGAGCTAGTGTATCGCCGACTGTCGAAAGATAAACCAACATCAAAGGTATTCCAACAAGTGCGTATGCTATCGTTATCAGCCTTCCCCATGCAGTCCTGGGAGTGACATTCCCATATCCTAAAACAGCAAAAAAAAAAAAAAAAAATCATTAATCATTAAAATCATTATATTTTAGACTAATACTCCTTCAAAACAGAAACAGTAAATTGAGTGTCTGGTTTTATATGGACAATTTTAATAATATTAAGAATTTCAGACAACAGGCAACAGTAAAGCATGCAAAGTAAAATTCCCGGTTTATTTGAGAATTTTAAAACTAGATAAAATAATTGGGCTCTTAGAAGATCACATAAAAATTATTTACAATTAAAATTAAAAAATATATAAAATTTGAATTGGATTATATAAGCTCAAATCCACACGTTTTATATTAATTGTAATGAATTTTCATATGGTTTTCTAAGAGTGCAGTTATAAAATATGTAAAAAAAGTCCTAAAATACTCAGGAATTTTACATTATAAACTTTTATTTTATACCAACTCCTATGTTTTTATTTTATGTTTTAAAAAGGGTTCGTTTGAAGCTAAAAAAAATAATAGTTTGGAGTTACAAAATGGTTAATTTGATATTAAAATTAATTAATTTGAAGCTAAAAAGGATTAATTATAAGTTAAAAATTAGTAAATTATAAGCTAAAAAGGGTTAATTTGAAATAAAAAAAGATTAATTTTAAATTAAATATAGTTAATTTGATGTAAAAATATTAGAAGATAAAAAAGAGTTTTGAATGAGGTCAAAAAATAATTAATTTGAAGTTTAAAATATTTGAAATTAAAAAGGGTTAAGTTGAAGTTAAAAAGGGTTAATTTGATATTGCTAAAAAGAGTTAATTTGAAGTTAAAAATAATTAATTTGACGTTAAAAAGGGTTAATTTGAAATTTAAAAAAATCTTTGATGATAAAAAGTTAATTCAAAGAAAATTGAAGTTTGAAAGAGTTAATTTGAATATATTGCTGAAAAAAGTTAATTTGAAGTTAAAAAGGGTTAATTTGATATTAAAAAAATTGAAGTTGAGAAGTGTTAATATGAAATTACGTAATTGAAGTTACAAGAGGGTTCATTTGAAGTAGAAAAAGAGACGTTAGAAAGGGTTAATTTGTACTTGCTAAGAAGGGTTAAACTGTTGTTAAAAAGAATAAATTTGAAGTTAAAAAAAGGTCGATTTAACACTTAAAAAATTGAAGTGAAAAAAGGGTTAATTTCAAATAAAAAAGCGGTTAATTTTTTTTGTTGTTAGGAACGGTTAATTTGATCTTGCTAAAAAGGGTTAAACTGAAGTTAAAAAGAATTAATTTGGCGTTAAAAAAGGGTTAATTTGAAATTTAAAAAATTGATGTTTAAAAAGGGTTAATTTGAAATAAAAAGTGGTTAAGTAGATGTTAGAAAGGGTTAATTTGATCTTGCTTAAAGGATTAAGCTGAAGTTTAAATAAAATTAATTTGAAGTCAAAAAAGGGTTAATTTGAAATAAAAAAGAGGTTAATTTGTTGTTAGAATGAGTTAATTTGGTCTTGCTAAAAAGGATTAAGCTGAATTTAAAAATAATTAATTTGAAGTTAAAAAAAGGGATCATATGAAATAAAAAAAGATTAATTTGATGTTAGAAAGGGTTAATTTGTTCTTGATGAAAAGGATTAAGATGAAGTTAAAAATAATTATTTTGAAATTAAAAATTAAAAACCAAATATTGAAGTAACAAAAAAATCTTAGCGGCGCAGGAGGACAGCCTACTAAACCCGTAAGGCTTGCCAGTTTTGAGAATTGATAGTCTTGCTCGCCGTTAGAACAAAATTACACTAACAGTCAAGAAACAAGCTGATCAATTAGTTGTTGATATTCAAAGCAATTAAATTAAAAATTATGGCACGCAGCATATTTTAGAAATAAAGCAAAAAATCTTTTGCTTTGAACGTTGTTTTGCAGTTTGTCTATGTGAAGTACAAACTGTAAAAACCGTAATTTTTCTTTCTATTTATAACATACCATTAAGGTCAAATTACTCACCAATTGTTGTTATTAGTGTCAAAGAGTATAAAAAAGCAGAAGGGAAATTCCAGTTGTATATTTTTTGACCGGTGTTCAACTGTTTGTGCTTTCTCACGAGCAAATTTTGGAACTTTAGAACCTCCTGTTCCGCCAGCCTCGTCCAGTTGTCCTTGTACAAAATGTTCAGATCTTCGGTGATGCTCCACAGCTTTTCTACCGTCTGCGATCTCAAATGGTCATGCTCTGACGACTTCTGTTCAGACGGCAAGTTCGTCCTTCCTTCGAGCGCCATAAAAGTGAGCGCTCCGATTAGGGTGTAACCAACCACTAGGAGACAAATCCCGAGACTTGAAAGTAGAGAAGAGACCGACTTACAGCAGCTGTAAAAAAATTTGAATAACAATTTAACAAACTAATTGTCTAAATGCTACCATTTTATAATAATCTTACTTGTTGTTACAATATTTTGAGTTTGCAGGTGGTTGGCCGTTTGGTGGGCAATATGCTGCGGTACTACCCACTGGAAACTGGTAGTTTCTTACTTCCCCACCCAGCATTGTATCTGAAACATAAAGTTAACAAGTAGTATTAGTTATAGACACTTGTGCTGCAATAGTTTAGGACAGTTAAATGGACTGGATTTGTCACTTTCCAGTATGAATCATGACCTGCACAAGGAAGACAGGGAGAAGTTTCACATCTCACAGTTAAACTGAACGTCACTTCGAAATCCTCCTTCAGTTTCCAATGTGATGAACGATTCAATAGGGATTGCCACATACGGTAAAGTTTTGAATTGGCGTTACTTTGACTTTGGTGAATAGGAAGAGAGTTCTGATTCAACGAGGAAAACTTCGGCTGCACGCTTCCTGACACACAAAGTCAAAACTTCCCAAAATGAACGAAATCCAGATTTGCTCTTTAGTTCTGACCTTGGACCTTCAGACCACCGACTAATCAGAGCAATAGCTCACTTTCGATCAAAATATTTTATGTAGTGAAAAAAGACTATAAAATATTCAAAAAGTGGAACGACAGGTGGAATAGAGGAGCTATATGATCAATTACACGCCCGGTACTGTGAGCTATATTTCTATCTTTAAAAATATAAAATAAATTTAATTTTAACGCTTGAAATAATCAAGCCTTTGTCGAAATAAAGCACCAAATACCGAATGGCATTGGCATAGAGAAAAGACAGTAGATTGGAGGAGAGGTGATATGATGAAGGATGATGGATATTTCCTGGGATTTGGTTTCGCTGAGTCTGATCCTTCTTTTCTTAAACGGTATTCTAAACAGAGGTGGTTCTGGAGGTTTCTGAAGGCTACTGCGTTTGGGTATGCTGAAAGGTTGTAGTATCATCTGCATATCGGAATGACTGCAGCGTGTATTGAAAAGAGGATTGGGCCAAGGATGCTGCCTTCCTGAACGCTGAAGATTTTGGTTATTTTATTATTATGTTTCAACAACGATAAAAAGGTTTGGGATAAAAGATGGGGTTTGGATGAAGGTCCAGAATTTTATGGAGTTTACGGTTTCGAGGACAAGTCGGATACGATGTAGGGAGATTGGGTAATGGTTCGAAGGTTTTTGGACTGGTGCGACTGGATCTTTTGGAGGAAGGTGAACCCCATAGTTCAAATTGATTAGTTGTATTAGTGACGTATAGATGAGGCCGTTTCGGTGAGAGTGTCGGATTTGGTTTTGTTGAGTCTGATCCTCTTTGTCTTTAACCATATTCTAAACAGAGATGGTTCTGGAGGTTTCTGGAGGATACTAGGCTTGGGTTTGCTGAAATAATGGCAGTAGCATCTGCATATCGGAATGACAGCAGTGTGTAATTTGCCTTACGGGCTCCATCTTTGGCTGTTGGGTGAGATTTGTTTCAACAACGATAAAAGGGTTTGAGATAAAAGATGTCTGACCGACCTACAGTTTCACGAACAGATAATACTTTGTAGAACAGGTGATACGGCGAATGGGGAAGGTTATTTTCTTGGATTATTTTGCGGTCTGACCCATTTCTTCAAGTGTTCTTTTAAACATAAGAGATGGTTCTGGAGGTTTCTGAAGGCTACTGGGCCTGAGATGGCTGAAAGGATCATCTGCATATGTCGGTAATACTGTATCGAAATGCCTTCAGTGTGTATTGAAAAGAGCATGGAATTTAGTATGATGCGTTGCGGAACACTCTTGGATGACTGGTGGGGGCAAAAAACTACAACCGCTGAGTAACTGTAAAGGGGATTACTATTAGCTATCTTACCTCATTGCTAATAGACGACCTCCCAAGCTAACCAAAATGTGATTTGATATACAGGGTACACAGATGACATAATTAGAGGCAAATACAACCAGAATCTGATCGAACAGAAAAATAGCCTTATAATGCTGACATGGCCAGAAAAAAGTGTCTAAATATAAAGAAACCTAAGGAAACAATTGTGCCATTCACCAGAAAAAAAGAACCTAAATTTTACAGCTCTAACCCTGAGAAAAAATCAAGAAATCAGGCATTCCAAATGTTGCCTCAGGGCAACACCAAAGTTCTTAATCTAAAATCTCAATCTTGGAATCTTCCATCTCCAACATGGATCTTACCCCATAACTGCATCTTGTATCGATTGTTATACTAGCCAAACATAAAATTTTTTTTAACCCTTTTGTGTTGAACGTTGCTTTAGACCAACGCCAACATTAGCGATTTTCTTTAAGGTTGACTGGAAATCCCGCGAGGTTTGGGCGGGAGCAGTGCTGTTCCTGCTCAGTTTCAACCCGTGTATTAGCAACACTGATTTATTTGGCGGCAATCTAAACTCTCAGTCAGTAAACTCACGGCATTTCCCGTTAACCTTTTAACAAAATTGCTAATGGTATAGCAGATATTAGGCAATAAAGGGTTAATATGGAATGGAACCTTAAGAGAAACTGACGGGCGCCATGGATATGCCAAACTGGTAGAACTTGGGGGCTAAATCTTTGACCTTCTGGCATTACATTAGTCAGACCCATGCAAATTAAGGTGGTCTGAAATCAAACCAAAATGACAGGGAAAAACAATGATGTCTACTATCTGGTGGCATTGTTGAACGGCAGAGTGATGTCTGAAGGATGTGACAGGTGTCGCAGGAGAGGTATTTCAATGATTTTACCAAGTAATGGAGCAATATGTAGGGTGAGGCTGAGGTTTTTGAGGTTTAATGATGGATAATTTCCATTTGATTGGGAAGTAGTTCTAAGGAAAAATAAGCTAGTACCTGTTGTGTCTTCGAGGTTGTGGATGGAGGTTGAGAGTGATATCTGGAGAATGAAAGTAATTTATTAGCGCGTAGATTCCCAACTTGGGGTACGAGTGCTATGGGTGGACCCTTACCCTTATGGATTATTCTTGTCTCAGAGGGATATCTGGAGTGGGAAATTAATTTATTAGCGTGAATGGGGAACTTAACTTGTTTACCTTGTCCCGGGGAATATAAAATACTGTGAGACTATAAATGTGACCAGGCTTGTCTCTTGGGAGGTTAATCCAATACCACGGTACTACACGTGCGCTTCCGTTTTTTTCCGATGTATCAGAGGGTGTGAAAATCGCACGTTTCATCTTGTTCTTATACTAATTTTTGACAATGTGAGATTAGTAAGTTAAGAAAAGAGGCTATGGAGATGCCTTTCTTGGTTGAGGACAAATCTATGCAATTTATCTAAACGTCGAATACGAATCCAGCTTTGATGAGTTGATAAACTATTTGTTCATGCCGTTTCAACACAATTTTAAATTTATTATCAGAGGAATGTTGGGCGAAACCAATCGAATTGATTTATTATTAAAAAATTAATTGTATCGTGTCGGTTTAAACGTACTAAACATTCGATCAGATCGGGGGCTTTGTTGTTAGAGTAAATTAACTTTACTAATGCAACCTTCTCTACATTTAAATCCTCCGGCATCGACGAGCTCCAATTTTTCTCTATTTTAAAATTTCTCTGGAGTTGATTTGACATCGAAAAAATAAAACTACAAACGGTTCCAGCTTCTAAATTGGCAAAATGTGCCACAAAAGGGGTAATTATCCAAAGCAAAATACTTGACGAACAACTCAGTCGATTTTGTTCAAAGAACACAAGAGGGCTAAACTATGTGGTATTTTATGACCTTAAAAATTTGAATTCCAGGTAAGACTTACGATGCTAATAATAACATGAAAATTATAACTATGACATTATAACTCACGCAGCGCGAGTTCAGATAGGAAAACTTCCAAAAGTCTATTTAAACGTAGCAACTTATGTTCAAAAAACAGATTATGTTCATTTGGGGGCGTTTGAACGGTCACTGTAAGGTGAAGGTCTCGAGTTCGAATCCTGCGGCCCTGCATTCGAATCCGACAAACTTACAAATGGACTCTTTTCAAAAACACCGGCACCACGAGGGTCCATAAAAAACAAACAAAAAAAACATTTGCGTTGGAGAGTGGTGTCGGACTAAGGGGTTGTGATGAGGGACCAGGATTGTATAGAGCTTGTATCGACTTTTTGCTGTTTCGAGAACATATGGGATTTGAAGGTCTGCGAAGACATATCGGATACGAATTAGGGAGTTTGGGTGATGGTTCGAAGGATTTTGGACTGGCGTGACTGGATTTTTTTGATGAAAGTGAACCCCATAATTCAATATCGTATTGGTTGGTAGTATTAGTGACATTAGATGAGGCCGTTTTGCAGTGAGAGTGTGGGATTTTGTTTTGTTGAGTCTCATCCTCGTTTTTTTAAACCGTATTCTAAACGGAGATGGTTCTGGAGGTTTCTGAAGGCTACTGGGTCTGGGTTTGCTGAAAGGATGGCAGTATCGCCTGCGTATCAGAATGACTGCAGTGTGTATTGAAAAGAGGATTGGGCAAGGGATGCTGCCTTCCGGAACGTTGGCTTCGGCCGATGAGGGAGATGCTGTCTACATAAAGATTTTTGTTTGTTTTATTATTATGTTTCAACAGCATTAGAAATATTTGGGATAAAAGAGGGGGGTTGGGAAGAAGGTCCAGAGTTTTATGGAGTTACAGTTTCGTGGACAAATGGGATTTGATGGTTTGTGTGGACGTGTTTGATACAAAGCAAGGCAATGGTTCGAAGAATTGGAGTCTGCAGTGACTGAATTTTCTGAAGATTGGAACACTTTGTTAAACCCCATAATTCAATTTCCTCAAAATTGGTAGTAGTTCTGTTGTCTCATTTTGTAGTGAGAGTTTCGATATGTTATCATGTAGTCTTTAAGCCGAGTGTGGGGTTCCAAATAAGTGTTTTTTCGATTGGTTCTGGGAGAGGAACAGACTGTAAATTGGACTAGTGGTGAAGGTTATTTTCTGAAATTTGGTTTCGTTGAGTCTCTCAGTCTACATTTCTCGAATCATTCTTCCAGTAGAAATGGTACTTGGAGTAAAGACCGAGGATGATGCCCTGCGGCAAATCCGCCTCGGCTTAGTGGATAGGGTGTTGGTATTCACATAAAGTTATTTTTGTTTCGTTGTTTACCAGAGGGTTAGTGTGAGGGTCCTGTGTTTTAGG